GACTGCGAAATGAGACCCGAGAAAAAAAGCCACTGAAACGTCAATGTGATCTACAGGAAGGCAGAATATCATTTGACTCAAGGATTCCATTCTCATCAGGTAGGTGTCGCCTGAAGCTCATTACATTGTACAGTACAGTAATGCAGCAAATCCTATCTTCCGCTTATTATTTATACTCATGCTACATCATAGCTCTGCAAATAGTCGATTTTCTGTCTGTGTGAGGCCAAGTTTCTTGTTCAGTGAATCAGGTGACACGTGTGTGAAGTTATAATTCTTCAACTTGACATTTTCTAATATTATGCGAGTTCAGGAAAAAGGACCTGCTATTTTCAAAACAAAATCAGCGTTGAAAGCAATCATCGGATAGTAGACTGTGTGATTAATTCTTCAGATGAGATTTTCAAAGACATTTTGGAAGCCATGGAAAAAGATATTTCAAAACCAATAATAATATGCATTTATAATTGTATAAAATACGAAGATGCGAGAGTAAAGTGAGCAAATCACAAAATGTAACTGCTGATGATGTGATTCGACAAATATACAAATATTGTACCGTATATATACCCAAAATAAATCCAAGTCAAACATCAGCGATTATTGCAAAGATAATTAGATTAACTGGACTCTTTCACGTTTTCAAAGCTCGATACACATTTTAACATTTTTCGGGTTTTCCATTTTATACTCGAAGCTTGGGTTTGTGCGCCAGGATCTAAGATAAATGTTCGGATGTCAGGCACTCAGTATAATTAATTCTTCAGAAAGATCTGCTCAAAATAAATCTTGAATAATGTATAAGATACAGTTAATAAAATAAATAAAGGCAATCACCATTAAGTGAAACGCCAGAGTTCCGTGGAATGAAATCCATGCAGTGCTTTTTTATTTCCAGGGCACAGCGAAGTGCGATGTCCACTGATTCTTGTATGGTTGGCTGGGGCCAAATTACTAGCATTGCATCTCCTGTCAAGCGGGACAGTAATGCTTTTTTTTACTGTATATATTGCAATAATGAAATATTACTAAATGACAGATATTTTAAGATATATCCTTGGAAGCTCAGAAAGAAAATATAAAGAGCATATCTTTTGTCTCCTAGGGTTGGAACAGAGGTTGTTGTCTCAGCTGCTCATCTCAATCAAATGGGTTAATCTGAAGAGTGAAACTTGATTTATTAGTACATATTGCATGCTAAATGATATTCCAGGTTTCTTTCTATGACATGAGGAAAAAATCACAAATAAATGCATCCAGTACTTTTAAGCTATCTTGGAAGAGAATTGTCTATGAGCAATTGATAAAATTGAGTGGCAGATTTGGTAGAAATTTTGAACCGTGCGGTATTCAATGATTAGGCTATCTACTACTTTCCGCTATCACTCCCCAGATTAAAATGTAAAAGTAAATTTGACTAACCAGCAAAATTTGTAACATCGCCTTCATGTGCAAACACAATCCCTAGAATCTTGCGTAAATATTCGTTGAGAAGTCCAGACAATGAACTTGTTCCTCCTTGATGGAGATGTCCTTGCGTGAACTCGTCAGTCAATGCTGTGAATCCTGTTTCAGAAATTAAAAGTTTGCTGCCTTCAATAAGGAACAAAATTTTGCTGTAACGATACGTTTTTGAAATTTCTTGGATGAAAGTATAGATACTCCAGCCGTTTGAATCTAAACAGTGTGGAACTACAAGAGTCCATGCTGGTCATATATTTTATTCACCCTTTTCCATTTTATGAAAGAGATCATATGAGAGGTTGTTTCATAAGTTTTGAGACTTTTTGACGGAGATCAAACGGAGTTTCAAAAGTTTCAAAGAAAATTTTCACTCGCATAGCCCCGTCATTTGGTAACACTTCAGCGCTGTTCAACTTACTTTCTGTCAATTTGAATGATTTTGTTCATGCAATAAGTCAAAAGATCCAAACAGTGCCAAAACCGAGTTCCTTTAGTTAATTGAGCTGTTCTTCATCCACTGCAAAAATGAGGCTCCCCCTAAGATCAAACCCTTTCAGAAATATCTTCACTGTTGGGGAATAGCCAAAATCACAGGAAGCCTAAAAAATTAACAGAACTCGATTTTTGGAACTTTTTTAATTGCTCCATGAAAAAATCTTTAAATTTGTTGGAGTAAGTTCAACAGCGCTGAAGTGTTACCAAATGATGGTGCTATGCGAGTAAAATTTTTCTTTGGAATCTTCGGAACTTTTTTTGTACATCGAGTTGACTTTTCTTGAGAAGTATTGCACCCAACTTACTGGAAACTAATCAGATTTGAATAATCTGAGGTTAATTTCCTCAAGTTCAGCTTGTCGTAATTCGAGTTTATTCAAATTATCCAGTCCCCGCCTTCCTTAGAATATCTGCTGATGATGACCTAAATTCTCACTTACCAGAAATATCCATGAGTGTCATGGCTCCTGAATACTCAATGAAATGTGGGTAATGCTTCAAGTTTTCCACTTCTTTTACTATTATGTCAGGAACAAATCGCAGAAGTTTGGAGAATCCGCTCTCATTTCTTGAATGCTGTGAAATGCTCTTGAATGACGTCATCTTTCACTGGCTTCACTCGCATCCACTGAATAATTTACCAATATATGTTAATGAATGAATTAGGAATTACCTGAGCAAGGATGAACTGCCTTTAAAAACTGGTGAAAGTTACACTTGATGGTGGGCCTCAATAAGCTCCTTGTTGTGAGACAAAAAAGAAATGATCCCTATTGTTGTCAATATACGTGGGGAAAATAACTATTGATTGTTATATAAATAAGAAATTCAACACAGTGATCCCTGCTTATGCTACTTGAACAATACCTTGTAAGATGTCAAATCCCATTTTAAAATTAGATATAATGTGTGAAACTCCGCGCAGTATTTTCTCAGCATTGAAAAAATTCATGAAATTTGGACCGATTCTTGCCCCACTCATTGAGTGTCAGGTTTGGACATGAAATTCCTTGAGAATCAATTTGATTACATATCTCCAATGCAGGAAACTCCAGTCTGTATACCTCAAATTGCACACAAATCCTCACAATAACCACGGCTTCATTTCTCAGCAAAGAACATTCCCTGGATACAAGTTTATATTTCAGAAATCCCTGCATATCCAAGAGGCCATTTACAAAATGGAAAGTTTGAGTCGATTCATGAACAAAAAGAATTCTCAAGGAAAAATTCATTTGGAACTCATCGAAGCAGTTTAATACAGCAGCAACATCTGCGCATCTCCAAGGAAACTTTAGTGTGCACGTTCGTGAAAATGAAATCATGCGTCACACCGTGAACACCGGATAGGGAGGTTTCAATCATCGCGGTCATTTTAGGGCGGTGTCTTGCCTCTTTTTCCTTGACTATTTGTCAAAATGTATCATACATTTTTCATGGTTGCTGTCTCATTTCCAATGAGATCATCATTACAAGAGCAGTTTTTTGTTGATCATAATCATTTCTTAAGTGAAGAGCATCCAATTTATTCTGACTTTGTTGAGTTGCGGGATTGTGATCGGCTGCGTTCGGAAGCCGAGCCATCGTCATCACTCGAAGAACTATCAGAATCCGAGGAAGATGAAGATGAACTGTCGGAATCGCTGTTTGACGAATCCCCTTTCCCACTCTTCTTACTTCCAGAGCTCTTTGAATTACGGGAAGTCGCGCGTTTTGGACTGGACACGCTTGATCCAGGAGACGCAGGCTGATCTTCAACAGCTGGCGTTGTTGCTTTTTCCACTGCCGGTGATTCTTCCAATGGCATCGAAGACCCGTTTTCAACTTCATCATGTCCAGAAGAACGCTCATCTTCCGATTTTCCCTGATTTTCACCTGAAAGCCGCGCTTCAGCAACATCAGATGCTTCTGGATCTGGACTCTTCGATGATGATCTCGAAGGATTATCTTCAGTGGGAGTTGGGGGTTTAATGGAGTCGACAGGAGATTTCTCATCACTCTCAGTGGATTTCTCGCGCGTGAGAGATGATTTTGAACAAACAGGATCACTGATGACTTCTTGAACAGATGTTTCGTTTGCAATTGATGGAGTATTTGCTCTACTGGCTTCACGAGAAGATTTTCCTCCAGAGTCTGGAGATTCAATTTTCCTGGCTGATTTGTCATCGAGGAACCTCTCTGGAAACATCCTGTCAAAGCACCATGGCTTCACAGTGTGCTTTGGAAAACCTGTGGAGGGAAAATAAGAGTGGAATGACTCAAGACTAGAGTGATTTTCAATTGGATCAGTGTTACGCGTCTCCTAGAGTTATTGCATGCGGAACATTTGAAAAATTGTTGAGAAAAATTGAAAGTCTGTGAAAAACCTGTTTCCAGCTGTTCAATATTGAAGAATAAAACACTTACATACTTGACATCTTCAAGATTAATTGATTAAAACGCCAGGATTACATCGGGTTTGATTGACCAATTCTTCAACAGTTGGAAGGTTTCCTGTTTCTTATAAATTCAAAAAGCAGTGAACACAGCATCATACAGTGTGTGCGATTTCATCTTCAGGAAGCGGATTTAAATTACTGTAAAATTCAACACAAAGTCGGCACCACCATCTTGAAATTCAGACAGTAATAATTTGAAGAGGTGTTCTCTAGAATTTTACATCATTAAAAATAACATTTTTCGGTTCAATATATGTTTAAAAATGGCAACGCTTGAACTTAATTCCGATGTCAAATATGGACTCAAAGATTTTCCATATTCGAAAAAATGTACACAGGTGACACACTGTGGACCACTTCGTTTTCGCGAGACAAAGTCGCGTTTCTCTCATATCAGCTCCAAGTTGCGCGATGAGGCGAGATATGGTATGCAAATGTGAACAATTTTACATAGTGCAAAAGCTCGACGCATTCCTAACCAGTCTGAGAAACATTTTTCTGAACTGTATCTAAGAGCTTTTGTCTCAAAACACGCCTGTACGCCCTACAGACCTAATCTTGTGCAGATGGAAGCAACTTCGTAAAAAAATTTTTAAATTGAATTGACGATACGCAAAAAAACCTGGAAATTCATTTCCAAGGACAACGAGAAAACACTTCCGGGTACAAAAAAAAAGGCAACTGACGACGCGAAGGATGCAAAATTCGCAGGAATGCAGATCGAGGTTTGGGCGACACGCTCTTCACTGAATTTTTTGAACTTTTAGGTGGCGACACTGCCGTGAAAGCATACCAAGAAAACCTCTCCGCTCCGACGATTCTTGACCGATTGTTGACTACATGCGTCACCTAAAGACAAGCAATAAAACAGACGAGATTCGATCAACAAAAGTTATTCGTCCAGGAGATCAGACGTATGCTTCAGTCGATATCATAATTTACATCTCTTGACATTCGAGAGGAATAAAAGCTGAAGAAGTTTCGTAAATTTCGGAAACCATACTGAGGAATGAGAAAAGAATGTCTAGAGGATGTCCGAACCTTTCGTCTGCTTCACCGCTTGTCTTATTGGCTGCTTCATAATTATCTCAAGAATCTCAAACCGCCATTATTCGTTTATGAGATTATTTCCATCTCATGAAGTGTTGAACGGATAGCCATTTTCGAAGTATAAAACTTCTAATTATTAAGAAGTAATTATATCACAGGCAGAAAACAGGTATTGTCAAAATTTTCTAATAAAACCCTTCGCCATATCACAACCAGGCAAAAGCTTTGTGGTTTTATTCACTGTAAAAACATAATTACAGATTTACTAATTTTGAAAAAGCTACGAGACAAGAAAAAAATTTCTGATTAAGAAAATCATTTTTAAAGGTTACATACAAATTTTTTAGAACACCGAAATGAATGGTGAAGTCTGCCTGGAACAACGAAGTTTTCCCTTCTAATCTTGCAGTGCACCAAAAACATGCGTTTAAAACACATAAAAAATACCAGAAGTCTAAAATACCATGGGAAGAGTTGGAAAAAATTCACATCTATAGCTCCTTGGAAAGACATTTTATTATGCAGAACTGGGACAACCTGTTTTATTCTATTCCCTGAGTTTAATGATTTCATGTGGTGCAAGTTTGCTAAAAAAATGTTGCATATGTATTTCATCTACAGAAGCAGAATGAAGTTAATCTTCATCCATTGATGGTACAAGTACTTGCGGTTTGGATTCAATAAAATACCTGCTTAGTATCAAAAGAGATTGAAGTTGCTTGTTAATAAGACAAACTTCATCTTCTATCTAAACCGAACATCGCTTGATACTTTCCTGATCTTTTTCCTGCGAATTTTTCCTTTATTTTCACTCGGAATTGTGAAATTAGAAATGGAAAGGATTGCAGAAACATCACTCACAAGTTGGATCGTATGTCAGAAGAAGCCGCTGGGTTTGTTTTAGGTGGCTGATGGCTTTATCAAACGCACGTTTCCTGACGATGTACGCACTCAGAAACGACTGTCCGGGGTGAATGCCAAAAATTGAGGCAATCATGTCCATCATTGGATCTGCTGCCACTGAAACAGCTTCACCCGCAGCTTCACGCGTAAGCTAAATTAATTCATACAAAAGCTTTTCAATGAAATGTCTATTAATTAGTGACTATTAAAGAATTAATTTTTTAAATAAAAAAAACTGGCACGAAATTTAGCCAAAACGAGGAGCAAATTTTCACCTCACGAATAACATGGAAAATTTGGGGATTCTTCAGCAACACGACGGGTGAAGCCCGTTTGCAAGCTTCAGCATCAGTCATCTCCTTCAAGATTGCACACATTTCTTCCTCCACTTGCTTCGTATTTTTGTCCTCTTTTGACAATTCTTGGTGCTCCTTCAACTTCGTGCTCAGGGCACGCGTTTTCATCACGAAATAAGTTTCGTTTTTGAGGAATTCGATCTCAACGTCGCGCGGGGCTACATTCATTGGCTTGAATCTTTTGTTCGACTTAGCGAGGTTCTTCGCTACTTCCATTCGAGCGTCCAGTCGTCTCTTTAGGCCCGATGGAACGTATTCTCCTGTTTGGATGGCCTCCTTCACTAATTTCATATTTTCCTCAACTTCCTAAAACAAAGGTAAACATGCGGAATGCTATCATTTGGGGAAATCGTACTTACTTCAAACAAGCACTAGTACATATTTTTCTGCAACATACGTAGAATCAAAGTATTCTAAAATCTACAATATCTTCCCTGAAAAGGCTTCTCCAAATTTTCACGAAGAGGGAAAAATTCAAGTTTCCAATTTCCGTTACTAGGAATTCGCCCAAACCAATGTATGCATAGATAATAGATTCAAAATACTTCGAATAATGAGCCCATTAAATCGCTTTTTCAAGTTACGTGACATGAGGTACGCTCGGGGAAAAAATCCAGATCAACTCGAAAAAAATATTGGAGCAAACGACCATGTTTTCAGATTTCCCATGAAAAAAAATCCCTCAAAATTTGGAATTAAGCCTTCCCATCTCTTTTCGTCGGAGAAAATAGATTAACTTTTTTTTTTAATTGTACGAAGTATTCGGCAAGCTAACCTCTGTTTTTTCATCGACGGTGACGGATATCTTAACATACTCTCCACAGGGAGCTTTCACAAGCAAAGTCTCCGTATTGGCTGACATGTCCTCCTCTTCCTGCATTTGAAATTTTAACGTCAAAACCTCGTAATTTTCGGAATGCGTTGCTTCAAAAAATACACCTTGTCTTCATCCTTCACTGGAGACGATTTCGGAAGAGCAGGTGGTACAGTTGGGGGACGGTCTTTGATTTCGTCCCTCACGTCTTCCAAGGTGAGATTCGGTTTCGTTCTTGCTTCTTCCATGGCCTCATTGAATCGGGCTCTGGGTCTGGGCTTACCGTATACTTCTTCATTTCCGATGAAAGCTTCAACATGCTGCTCCTTCGAGCATCCACTGAAACAAAAGGAAAAACAAATCTGTCTCAATGCACTTGATCGAAGTATTGTACTGTATATGATAGATTACGATTTGAAGTGAAGTCTCGTAAATCGCGAAAAAATTTCATTTATAAAAAGTTTCGGAGAACAAAACGTTCATAGATACTTAAAACAACCTTTCCACTTCGAAGCCCAACCTCGATTTTTGGAAGGTTACGCTGGTTAACCTCAACAATCACTTAAAATAGCTAGGAATTTACGGGGTGCAGACGATATTAATATATTTTTGAAGAAAATCGCAAGGTCCGGAATCCGTACGATGAAGTAAAAGGACCGGAACTTTATTGGAACAGCAACGCAATAAAATTGGATTTCGATTACGCAGAAAAATAGCGAAAACAAGTTACTTATTCAACAATTGAAGATATTACGATTGCTGGGTAAATTGTTTCAATGCATGATTCATTAAATGGAATGCATGAAATACCCCAGTTCAACTTTTATAGAATTGGTCGTAAATGGAATGGAACAAATCCAAGAAGAAAGGTAAAGCAAAGAAAATTCAACTCACGCTTCATAAGATCCGAAGAAGAAGACTTTATACGTAATACCAGCCTTGGAAATGGACACGTCTTCCACCTGAAATTCACCAAAAATCTCATATTCGAATTTAATCACCGAAACATCGAAAAGAATGTCTTACTCGAGCAGGCCAATGCGGGTATCCCTTAATTTTGGCAAACACGACGTCGCCGATCTTGAACTTCGGTTCCGCGAGCGGCATGATTTCGCGATTCTCACTCGTCACAGAACCCGAAGAAAATCCTCACTGCGAAACAAGTTCTTCAACTGTATGGCGGCAACGTTCACAAAAATGGCGGAATTCGCTCAGTAAGAACAAAAACAATCTATTGATCATTATTATCACCAAAATGTACTTTCCACCTTCAGACGTCCACGCTATCATCAACACGGTTCTCTCTAGATTCCGCATCGCAACTCTTCAAATTCCCGAAGAGAAGGCATTTCGGATCCCGCGAAACGTCGCGTAGCCTCAATACTGAGGGATTCGGGGGGAGTGCACGTAACTTTTTGGGCAAGCATACACATCGTCACATCCTTCACAAAAATATTGTCCCGATTCCGAGAAAAGATTCAGTCATCAAACGCGATCAGCCGCGAAAAAAAAAGCAGAAACCTCCCATAATTATTATACATCGTTCCTAAGAATTTGCTTACTTTAAGTCGACCTGAGCTAAAGTACTCAATTGCACCATGCTGGAAAGAAAGCAGCGAGTCAATTCTACAGCTTGTTGAAACTCGTCACAGAAAAACCCGAGTTACAGCTACGAAAACATAGACGATACTGCTAGGATATCTTTAGGCCGAAATTCTCATTAAAAAATGCAACAGACTAATGAACGACAAATAAAAATCCCCAAGTGGAAATCATGAGGTGCAGCACTTCTCAAAACTTTCCCATTCTAGACGTGCCACAGTAGAATTTCTTCAGCCCAAGAATACATTTTCATTCAGATCACACAGAGGGGAAAACACGCATGCTTCGAACCCAATTTAAGCTTCAAGGAATGCGTCCTGATTCATAGTCAGTGATTGTTCCCAACAAACAAATTCAATAAAAAAAAAAGACTGACTACTGTAGGTAAACGGGCAAAAAAGGTTAAATCAGCGTTCCCCAAATTTTTTGGCTCGCAGACCGGCAAATGTCCTTTGAATTTTTTTGCGGACCAGCAAAGTTAAATAAAAATTCCTGAAAACCAGCAGACATTTTTCAAATACCTACCATAAAAGTCCTCCAATTAAAACTTTCACAGAGTTGCAAAAATTAAATTCAAAGCCAATGAAGCAGCAGTGGAACGTTTTCAAAAAATTAGAAAGATGGTCTTCAAGAAAGGTTTCTCAGAATGAATACTGGAAATAATGTATTTTCTAAATTTGGGCTTCAAGAAAGGTTTCTCAGGATGAATACTTGATAAAATGTATTTCTATGAAATGTTTTTCACTCTCAAATGGGAGAGAAGTCGACTTTGATTTTTGATCAAATGATTTAAGCTGCCCTGTTCTTGGAGATTTCAAATAATAACAGACTTCATTACTACCGTTGATAAATTTATGCTATATATGATAGGAAAATTTCCCGCGGACCCGCAAAAAACTTCTGAGAACCGGCGCTGGTCTGCGGACCACGCGATGTAGACCACTGGGTTAAATCTTCCAAAGGATTGAGAAAATTGAGCAAAAAAAAGCACCGCCACCACCATCTGTTCCAGATCTAATCGAAATAGTCTCATCAGCGAAAAAATAACAATTGGACAAGGAAAACAGAAGAACAGGGGATTGTACTCAGTGGAATAGCGGCGGCACGAATGACCAACCCAGAATGCGGATTCTAGAAGAAAAAATCACTCGACTCTGTAATTGCAGGAAAATATGAATTCTTCCGAATTTCCTTCAATCTCGAGACTAATCGAAGCAAATGAGTGGTGCAGGTTCCGGCTGAGGAGGTTCAGGCTCGGGGATCGCTTGGGGAGGAGCTGGAGCAGCCACCACCTGAGCAATCTGCTGCTGCGCAGCGGACGTCGCTGCAACAGCAGTAGCTGTTGACGAGGGCGCGCCTGGAGGTGGGCCAGCAGTCGGCATCCTGTAGCCCTGAACCACGGGCATCTGGTAGACACCTCCTGGCGGCATTTGCGGCGGGTAGTAGGGCGCAGACTGATGCACAGGTGAGCCGTCGTAATGGTCGCCAGGCATTTGGGAGGACGGCATCACGTGCTGCGGAGGATGCGGTGGAGCTCCAGGCATTTGAGGGGCGTACCCCGGAATCACACCTGGCATACTTGTTGGACCTTATCACACAGATGCAAATCCAAGTCACGAATGAGAACGGACATTGTTGAGGGCGAGATACCATAGAAATGAATAGATGCAAAAGTTAATCGTTGCATTCATATTTGAATTCAGGTTTTGAATCCTCCGCCTGAAAACTTATCTAATAAAATTTTTCGTTATAAAATAATGTGTAGCGGTACCTCACACAATGAACTTCATTCGCGCAAGCACAAAGTTCTATGTACGATTTTTTTCCTATACAAATCTTGATTTCCCTTTGAATTCTCCAGAAAATCATAAAAAATAATACTGTACTTCTTGAGCATAATGCCTTTGAATGTAATGTACAGTATAAATTTTAAATCCACACTTTCTGAAAATAATACGGATGAGAACTGCTTTTGAAAATGGATGTTACCTCGAGATTTTTCTTTCAGGAAGTGTGGATTGCTGGTTCAAAACATTGCATCTAAAGGCACGGCAAAATTTCTTTAAAAATGTGTTTTCGTCACCTCTCTTTTTAGTAAGTGTGGATTGGGGGTTGAAAAGATTGCATCCATTTTTCAAATATTTTGAGCATAAACGACGTAAGTGTGCAACAAAAAAGTGTAAGATTTTCAAAAAACTTTCTTGTACTATGAATTTCGTATGTAGTACAGTATTAGGGTGAAAAGTCGCGGTAAAAACGTTTGTGCTACAATGAATTGCTGCATCTTCAGGTTTTCGCCTTCTTTACACTTGAAAATAGTCGACAATTTAGGAATTCATCGGATAAGAATCAAACAGACGAAGTTTTCGGGCAGCTGGAAAGAAATCCGGCTGCTCCGGAATTCCTGCTTTATTCCAAACGTGTTTACTATCTTCTAATTTGAAGCACAAAATTTCAAGCTGCAGTTACTGTATCTATGAAAAATTTTCGATCAAGAAGAACAAGAATCCGGTACAACTCACCATTAACACCTCCAGGCATAGGGACAACGCCCGGGGGATACATCATCTGAGCACCAGCAGCTGCTGCCATGTTCTTCATTGTGAGGATTCTTTCTTCTTCCTGCATCCTCTGGAGCGCCATTTGCCTTTGATACTAATTTTCCACAATGAATTAAATTAAAATCCATATCTAATGAACTAAGAAGGAATAAGAAAAAAAAATTAATCGTACTTCTAAATATTCATGCTTCTTTTTCCTCATTATAGCGAGCTTGTGAGCCATTTGCATTTGCCTCTGACGCTCAGCCTCTTCTTCTTCACGTCGGATCTTCTCCCGATGCTCTTCTCGCAAGGCATCCAGTGCGGCCCGAGCATCCTTCAACTGAGCCAAACGATCTTGCATACCTTCGTACAAGACTGAAAAAGCAGAAACATTCAGATTTTTTCATATCAATACAGTAATATAAAAGATTCAAGGCCCTCGAATCGTGAATCCATTCTTTGATTTGAATAAGCTCTCTTGATTAACAATCTAAGGTGGAAAGTCACAATCATCTTGAAAAAAATTATGAAAATTTATTGAACATTCGAATAACAACGTTTTTTTTTACCTCTTTCCTCCTCCAGGGTGTTCGTTTTCCGGATCAACGTAGAATTCAGCGAAGCAATGTTCATAAAGAGAGTTTGAACAGATGAATCAACCGCAATGGATCTTCCACGGCTCTTATTGCTCTCCATACGATTGGTGAAAATTTCTAGTTGACTCCGGAGATTATTGACGAAATCATTTAGCTCAGCGTCTTCTTCCACGGGATGCACTGCACGCTGAGGAACTGGAGTTTCGAGAGCAATCGAGTTCTCATTCGACATGTACTTGTTGTTCGTGAAACTCATCTGTAACATAGAATTAGATTGGTACACGGCTGTTTAGCATGTGGGTGTTGCCTCAATATCAAATGGTTCAATTCATTTCATCAACTTTCGTCCACTGGATGAACCACGCATAATTTAACGTCAAGTTTGACAGTTTATTTCTTATTTTGATCAACGAAGGGAACGGGTTACAGTGGAGCCCACAATAAGAAACGCCTAACACATTTTACACGGCCTGCCACAAAATTTCTTTACAGATAATACAGATCACGAAAATGCATAGCCCGACAAAAAAGGCGAGAAAAGTTTGAAGTGGATGAAAGTTTCTTCCACATTTTTGTTTTTGCGTTAAGCAAGGTTTCCCTAATTCAAGGGTGTCCCTGATGTCATTCAATGAAATTTCCTACGAAAACACATCCATTCAGAGGTTCAAAATAATTCATGAAGGAAGACGGCAAGCGACTTAAAATAAATCACCCATTTTATAAATTTTCACATTTTTCTGCACAAGGACTTCCCACAGAAACGGATCAAGTCCTTGAATCGAGGCATCATAGCAAATTTAGGCGATCCGCATGAAATACGCAGTAAAAATAGACGGGGAATGCGGAAGTGGCACAAAAATGAACTCGCAACTCGTTTCCAAAAAAAAAAAATAACGAAGAAAAACAACAAAACAAGATTTTTACCTCGTTCGCGTTGACAGCAGGGGCGGAAGAAGCCATCGGGGGCGCCGATGCCTGTGGCGCAATGCTGGTATCTGCTTCATATTTCCGAGAATTTTCCGGGTAAAGTCCCGAACTACTTTTCTTCACTTTTTCCTTCTTCTCCTCGCGGGCCTCGGCCTTCTGTTGCTTCGTTTCCCAAAATGACCGATCCAAATATCTTGCCAATTCGGGATCCAATTCTACGGGGTCTTCTTGAGCCTGAGAGGACATCACAAAAAATGCATACAGCACCGTATAACTACCATAATACACTGTCAATGCGAGCATCGAAATGGTAAAAGGAAACGCGGTAAAAAAAGGAAAGAACACAATACACAATGAAGCGGAAATTGTTTTCGATCAACGATTTACAAATGATGATTTAAATCCATATAAAAAATATTTTTCACGGGAAACGGAGAATTCCACATAAAAATATATGAAAAACGGTTTTCCACAAATGCCCTTTCATCCGTTCAATTGAGAAAATAGCCACAAATTGCCGCGTAAAGCAGGCAAAAAATAGTCAACTAACCTCGTCAGCCACGGAAGATTTGATTGACTCGACAGGAGCCACACGCGTCATTTTCGCAACTGGTTTAAGAGAACTTGGATTCTGAAAGAGGGAAAAAATCCTTTCAATCGCAGAAAGCTCCTTCTAAATAAGTCGAAAGACACGATTTCTGTCAGAAAGCAGAAACAAACCTTTGACTCACACTCCGATTGTGACAGAGCGATCGCGAGTTGTAATTCCTCTTCTTCACGCAACTCTTCTTCTGTTTTCTTCTTTGGAACCTGGTTCTCCTTTGACAAAGGGCTGTTCAAGTATTCAGGTGGCAAATCATCGGTACCCTCTTTCGTGCCGGTAGCAGCGGCACCAAGGGACCTGTACAAACGATTACGAAAATTGAGCTATTCCAGATAATTGACGGACATAAAAACGAAAATCTCGACTCACTTGCGATGCTTCTCAAAGCAGTAATCACAAACGCGAACAAACTTTTCTATGCCCAAATGAGGAAGTGGGAGACTGTGTTGCGAACAAGGGTCACAGAAGATCTTCCCACACGCTCGACAATGATGCTAAAAAATGTGAACACAATATACAGTAATAAGCTGAATGTATGTGAAAATATGAGCAAGCTTTCTTAGTCTAGAAAATCTAACGGAATCTCTCTTAACACTTGTAGCCCCTCACTGCAACATAAATGTATCCCGAGAAGATAACGTCGTAAGAGTGCGAAGTTTAACTAAGGAATTAAATTGTCAGTCAAATCACTTGTCTGACCTTCATGTTTCAAAAATTGCACAACATACCTTTCTAGTAAACATGCTAAAGGTCGACCGGCACTGCATACAAGCCTCGCCATCAATCCAATTGGGTGCGGTATCGGCCATAAACATAGCATCACTTTCTTTCAATTGGGGGAAAGAATACCCTTCCGCCTTCATAATATTCATGATGTCCTGTGCATGAAAAAGAAAAGGAATACATTCGAGAACTTGATTGATCGAGATTGTTATCAATCAAGATAGTGATGCTGTACGAATAAGCAGCACTCGACAGATTCAAAATACGGCACTATACGACACTAACGTACCACAAAAAGCAAGTCACTTTTCATTCACGATAACAGGTTCACGAAAATAATGATCGCGAGCGCATAACGAGTCGATAAGTACTGAACGTTTCAAGATGGCGATGAAATTTTAAACGAAGCGTTCTAAATTTATAAAAAATTCAAATAACCCTAAATATAAAATATATACAGTATTATGCGGAATTCGAGTAAATAAAGCGGATCGCACATTCTTGTCACGAATGGCAATAACATCACCAAAGGAGTCATTGGAACGATTCACGCGTCTATGACTCAACGTTACGTCACATGCCTCAACGGCGGTTTCACGCGGGGCAAGATAAGAGTTCAAGGAAGCCATACAGATAAAACACACGTTTGCCAAAGGCATTTAGTCACATTCGTGGACTCACGGCAACAGTGAAACACCAAGCACGATTAAAACAACGTTGTAACGTACAAGGCCGATACGCGGAAGTTGCAACCATCGATAAAAAGAAAAAGGAATTATACGTTGTGAGACGGACAATGAACTTGGGACTCCGGTCCGCTCGCATGGCAATGCTCAGATTACATTCAAGAAATAACCCGGAAGAACCCGCAGATACTCGGCAAGCATAACTGTTCGTCTACTTAAAATTTCAATTAGAATACACTTTGAAAATATTGTAACGTAACTAAGAAAACCAAGAAATTTATGTTGAACTAAAATTCAGCGATTTGGGATTATTTCAATATACAATACCAAAGCAGGAGAGTTGCTATGAAGAGGGTAATTGAGTGCCTGAAATTCAAATAAAAAACCTGGACGCCTACAAAATGCCTGTCCTAAAAATAAAAAAGACGGAAGGCGACAGAATATAAAGGTGTTCTGTAATTGAACTAACCTGGACAGGTTGATACTTCGATTGTCCCCTGAAGGCATGAGCCCAGACTTGGATAAGCTCAAGAATCTTCTTTCGTACTTTTTCATTCGGAGTTTGCTTCACTATATCATGCAGTTCTTCCATCATATCCTTGCTTCCCAACAATTCGTCGTGCACAAGCACACCACAGTTTTTCACCCAGCTTTCCAAAACTTGTAATGCAAAAAGTTGCACATTTGGATTCTTGTCATAAAGTTTCTTCTTCAGAGCACTCAAAGCGTATGAAGCCCTATTTGTACAGAAGGAATTTTTTTTAGATCGGCGAATAATTTTTAAAAATTTCAAATTGTTTCGAAGTTACCTCTGAGGCACGAACTGATCAGTCTCATAGAAATATACAAAATCGGCAACTCTAGTTTAAAAAGTATATGTGTTTGTCAAATGTTCAATTGCAAAAGAAAACACGCGAAAGAAGGAAATTGTTTGATTATTGTAAAAAAAAGAAGTTACCAACTGAAATTGAGAAAACTTGATCATTGAATTTAAATTCCTTCCTGTTTTTTTTCTAAATCAGATTCGACAATTAAGAGCAAGAAAACTTCTTCGTGAACGATAACCTATCGGGACAGCAAAAATGACGACGGAAAATCTCAATTGTTGACAAATATAATTTATTGCAGAATTATATCATCTTTGATGGAAAATCTTCGATATCCCCAAAGGCAATGCAAATAAAGTTGAACTCACTGTACATCTTTCTGCCGGATGTTGTCACAAAGCTGCAGTGTCACGACTAGATCAGGCTCTTCCAAATTCAAGTGGCTCGTCGCTTTATCTAAATCAGATACGACAATGAATGAATGACGCCATGGTATTATTCAAACGAAACACTCGAAGAAACTCACCGAGCAACTTATCGAACATCCCGGTCGACCTGAACATGCTCCAGCGATCACTCGAAATTTCACAGAAACTGCGACAAAATGAAATCATCAATCAAAATGAAGGTTTACTGACGCGCAAAAGTCGCGATCTTTTCCACTAACACATCATTAGTGCCTCGATAGTGGTTTTCCATCAATAATGGAAAGCCACTTTTCAGTTGATTACATTTAACTAAGTGCTCGCATTCAAGAGCCTTTTTCTTGGATTCCGCTCAAGCTTGAGATAAGCTTCACTTCGGTAAAAGATTGAATTTGAAAAAAGCACTGTGAAAGTGAGTGGAAAGATTCTTTTTCTTCAATTTCAGAAATAAACGTTTGATATACTTTATCTTCGTCCCTTTCAATGTGAAACAGAACACTGAATTGTCCCCAACGCCTCCAAACTTTCTTCCTTCAAAATAAGCACAATATCCCAAGCCACTGAGAGCGATTCAATACAATGGCGAATTCTCCGAAAGGGTATCCAACAAACAGCATATCACAATAAGAAAATGAACGACATTCGGACATTATCACTGTTCCGGACAACCTTTTCGCTCTTTCCAAGAGGGGTATACAAAAACGTGAGCTGCACCATCACAGGCGTCGTATACCTACCAGTTCAAGCTCGTGATTGTCCGCCTCTTCTAACTTCGCTGCTAAAAAATAGTACGCGTGAAATGCTTGCGGTAACAGATATTGCAACAGGCACAGGTAAAACGAGGTCGTAACGAATGCTTTTCACGTTCGGGAAATTACTTCAGGTACTTGACGCACACTCTTTGATATCCGTAGCTATCGGGTCACCGCAACAGTAAAAGCTCGCTTACACATCCTCACAAATTTTCTCCCCTAATGAACACCCTATTTTACGGCGGCCGAAAACGGCAAGAACATGTTGAAAGAAATCAAATCATCGTAACGATCATCATATGAAAAAAAAAACTGCGAAAAAATAAACAGACAGTCAGTTTGGCGCAAACCCAAAACAAAAACTACCTGTGATAACCGGACAATTTGAACCGAAAAATGGCCACTTAGAAAAATTTGTTCAGCTGCTCTCAGGAACATACCTCAAAAAATTATTTTTGGAAAAAGACATTCTTCACCTATATTGTACCACAAATTCCTCAACTGCCAAGAGTCACAGTACCGCAACAAATAGACAACTGAAAATATGCAATTTTTTAGTTCGTTCGATGATCCTCCAGAATTTTCTGGATGTTGTAAAATGCAAATTTCAGACGCATCGAGAAAACCTATTTACCTTAGCTTACCTCGATCCGGTTTTGAAGTGCAACAGCACACGTGTGATCATGTCAATGGACAAAATCCAATAGTTTTAAGAGCACTGGAAAACAAATCTTGAGATAAAATTCGCGTACAGGTATTTGCTTTCTATCGAGTTTCACAGATATGTCTCTCCTGTCGACTGGGAGGAATGCTAAAACCTAATGATGCACGAATAAAGCTTTCGCAAAATATTTTCGCTTTCGATCGGATCAGACAGAAAACATTCCCGATTTCTTTCCGACACCGTTAATACCGTTCGGAACGAGCGATGTGGTCTCGATCCCAGCATCGTTACACATCACTTCCAAATTGGACGCCAGTTCGTAGGGTAAAGCACTGCTGTCCCCAGCGCTGCAAATATCACTAGTCACGCTGGTATATAATTCCGCCCAAACTGGACAATGCGAGCTAACAATTCCACCCCATCCCCATCCTCTAGGTATGGCTAAATGGTCCAAGCCTTGTCTCACAATGCTCCAATGACCTGACAATTTAAGATGATGACACGATCAGTCAACCGCACACAAATTAGGAAAAAAAATTTAAAGAAGATAAATCACCTGTAAAAAATTTCTTCATAGTGTCCGAAAAGCATATATTGTCGTAGCACCTTGATTCGTCCTTGGACACACACCGTCCGCTAGCAGTTGTACACGTATTCGTTCCAACTATAGACGTGAGCGCCAATTCTTGCACATCGTCGAAAACTGAAAATTGTTTTCATAGCTTTTTGAACAAAATGCAGAAAAACAACGCCTGTGTTGAGCCTTTTTACGAAATACATAATGAATAACCCAACATTCTGTAATAGAAGGAGCGTTCATAATTCGTAGAAATTCAATCGCGCTCTCAAGATTAGACGCTCCTTCCAAAAATGTCAATTTTGGGCTCATATTTCAAGTATGATCCATGGAATGATTTTTCTCGATCAACTTATACAGCAAAAGAAAAAATACATCATTAGGAGAAACCGGACGTAGACCAAAATCCTGTGTTGTATATATTTTTTCCCTTGATGCCTAGTGCAAATTTCAATCTCTCAAGTTCTCAATGAACATTCACAAGTTTAGCTTGGACTTCTTGTTCTTAGCACAGCTTACACGTAACAAAATGAGAAAAAGAGACAAACCAACCTGCATCACTCAACGGAACACCCGTGTCGCCAAGAATTATCAACGAATCCATATCAACCTGAGTCTTCAGCAACTCTTTAACGCACCCAACAGCTGCTCGGGTTTGTGACAAATCTACGTCAGCGATGCTTTGCGACCCCGTCGAAAAAGCTCGATAAAGCTTTCCTTTTAGTTGCGCAACGGGACTTAACGGGGTAAGTAAGTTGCTCGGTGAAGCGGATTTTTCCTCCTCATCGCTACTCGGCGAGGATTGGCGCGTAAAAACGGAAGTTTTCCGGGATGGAGACCGACGATTCTCCAGTATTGGAAGAGGAGACGGACGCTTCATCGCAGCCCACGGACGTAAGCGAACAGTTACCAACGTCATTCCCAATCCCTCCAGCTAAAAAAATAAACAAATATGTCAAACTACGCATTTACAGAACAGTAAAAAAACAATATTATACTCATAATTAGTACTGAAACAATAGAGCGTATTGAAAAATAGAACGCTTCCAAAACAAAAACAACGCAAGTGACGAAACCTTCACTTGAACCAAAATGAACAGAAAATTCTTTCGGTAATTTTATCCACCTATTTTAAAATAAATTTCTTACGCTTGGAACGCCTCACAGAAAGTCAAGAATTTACCATGATCCGAATGCTCCATCATCCGATACTACTGTATTAAATGATTTCGAGGCCCTGTTGAGCGTATTACGGTAATATTTCGGAAACTTATACTGCTTTGTACTTCGTACATCAAGCACGCAATCATCCATTGATCCACCGAATAAATTTAAATATTAAACGCAAAAAAAAAGACAGGGCAGACGAACCTCAAAATTTCCCACAGCCAATCGGCAATCGAGTACACTAGAACAAACTTGATCCAACAGCCCATGACTTGATCGGCGTCTGGAATCGTCCAAATCGGCTCGAACAGCACATCCCAGAGGCTTCGCTGATTTTAAGCGGATTCCTCGACTAGAATCATACATGAATCCAACATGTTCCAGCTGAAATTAAAGAATCCACAATGGAGTAGAAAAATTCTCACAAAATTCAATATACTCACGTTTTTCCGAATGTCGGCGGGAGACTCAGCAACTCCAAATCTCCCTCTTAAACCTCGTTGAGCCCAATCGGATTCCTCCAACCCAGCCTCCGGTGAATCCACCCAACATCTCCAATCCCCACGAGGTCCATCCCAATCGATCACTTTTTTCAACGTCGGTGCATTCAATTCTTGGCACAGCTGAAAAGAAAAAATATTATTCTCGTATTCTTGGGACAATCAAAATTACATAGAAATCCCTTTCCCACCAACCTTTTCCATGACTGCCAAAGAGCTAACCTCCTGAACAGCTATGAGAGACAACCTGTGGAATTCAAAGTTCAAAGAATGAGCAGACGAAAGAGGCATACTATACTGTATACTCACCCATTTTCCAAAACAGTTCTACAAATTACTTCCCGTACACCAGGATTTTCGGCTTTTTCCGAGGTAAAACCCTTTAGATTCCACGTCGCAAGACGAAATGCAGATTGGCCCTTTCGCATGTCCAAGAAAACTTCTTCCATAATGGGCCTCGACCACGACTTGGCGCTCATTATTTCATACATCTAGAATGAGGAAAATTCCATGCGAAATGAATATCAAGTAAGATGTGAAAAACCCAGTGTTCATCTTATTTGACATTCATTATTTCAGGAAAAGAATTACTGGGAATACCTCCGCCTCACGTTGATATTTTATAAGACGGTTTTCAGTAACAAACATTTCCAAAATATCAAGATTTGAGCCCCAGAAAAACCATGGGAATCTGCAGAAAATAACTTCATCCGGAAACAGGAAGACCTTCAATTATAAAATTAATTCCTCACGGGTGTTTTCTATGAGGAAAAAATGAAATAAAAAGTACTCGCAAAATGAAATATTAGATGTTTCTTGTTCTTCGATATGCAACCAAGCGACACTTTCTAGATCAAAATTCCCACTTATTTAATTTACGTGGATGAGCACTGGAACTTTCTGAAAAATACCTCTCCTACTAATAAATACAACGGCAATCGTGAAAACCACGTGAATTCACAAAAGGGCCCAAAAGTAGGGAAAAAACGCAACTAGTGTCGCGTATATTGTTAGGCAAACCTGCTGCGTAATCTCCAAAGGGGACGATGAGTTGTCAACGGACTGCCAAGGAGCATGATGATTCGATGACGAATCCATGAATAAGGCATTTTTTCCGGTAAGCGAGGTCAAGTGCATCATTTCTGACAATTTCGTAGGGGCTGACTTCGTCCGACGATGCGCTGGAAAAATAATTTTTTAAATTGTAACCGACGAAAACCATTGAAACGAGTTAGGAAGCCGGCGCATATGGTTTTATACACAAGTCATGTTAGCGGATGGGCAAAAACAAAACAAAAAAGCTGTAAAAAGCAAATACATGAGATTTTCGCAATTTCTTGACGATTCAATTCAATTAAAAACTAATGCTGCAATAAAGGACTTTACGGTGATGCGGAACATCTCGCAAGCAATCGATCAGTTCTATTCTTTGCCGAGAATCGAAAAAAAAAACGAATTCTTTCGCAGGATCACCGACATGGTGCGTATCCAGATGACGTATTTTAAATCGCAAAAATGTATGCAATTTTGTTGAATATAGTTTGTTGAACTTGAATATAGATCAGAAAAAAAGCCCTCAAAATAAAAGTTCACCTTAAACCAGGTTCAATCAACAGGCCCACACTTTACTCTACCCACTTGCGAATTTCGGAAGCTTAGGACTGGTTCGTCGAGGTACCGAGCGGGGTGTGGTTTGCGTGCTTCTGCAGCCTGTAACCGTGATATTTGTAGCGGGAAAGCCAGCAGTGGTTTCGTCCACAGTGAGATAAGTCTTAAGCAAAGCCATGCGACGCCGACTTACTCCCTTCACTTTCCTCACATCCTCAACCCTCATGAAAGGACCCTTCTTGTCCCGGTGACAAACAATGTTCGCTGCTAACTCCTGATTAAGGCCACTGACGGTCATGAGTTCGAAAATCGTCGCAGTGTTGAGGTCAACCAGGCAGACTGGTGGTGCAAGAAATTCCATTCCACTACTTGAACTGCTGCACTTGTGATCCGAATTATCTTCGACGTTAGATGATCTTGACATAAATGAATAAATGAACGCGAGATAACACATTAGCATACTTTCTCGGTCACGTAAAAATTGAAAATGTCATTCCTCTGCAAAAAATTATAAACTTTTTCGAACAAAAAAGTTATGTGCTTTTTCTAAACGCATCAACTTCAGTCCAAATCAAAGAGTACAGTACAGTGTTGTACCGATTTTCAAAAACCGACATCCGATACATGCACAAGCAGACGCTTACCTGGAATAAACAGCTCCTTTTCCTATGCACAGCTCATCTTGAATACCATCGAGTTTAGTCGCCCCAAGGCCTGAAACTAACGCCAAATCTTCAATCCTCCGAAATCCACCAATTAAGTTTCGATAATTGACAATATTCTTGGCTAGACTCCTATCGATTCCCGATAATGTCATCAACTCTTCCTCAGAAGCCACATTGATGTCCATTTTGTCAATCTGGGGAAAAACCAATGCGAATTAAGCTCCGCCGAAATAAAAAAAAGATTATGCACAACTATCTCACTATCTATCAGCTAAAAATTCGACAGAAGTCAAATTTTCCACGTTGAATTGCAGTACATTTAATCGTCAGAGTACGTTCCATCATTTTAGAAGGATCGGGAACTTCACATCCAATTCTTGCAATAAACTAAAATTTCTCAAATTAAGATCAATATACAGTACAGTACGTCCAAATTCAGAATTTTTGAGAATCAAATGTCTGCATAACCAATGGTCGCAAAATCTCTTACGTGAAATGCATAATTCAGATGACATATTTCAGTTGAAGACATGTCTAAAAATCAGGCTAGGACATCAGAGAAAAGTTAATGGTTTCGGGTCATACGTGAACACTATCTTACGAACAAGAAGGGCCGTGATGTTCGCAGCAAGAAGCAGAAGGGAAACTCACCGTAGCTATGCTCTCGCTGTGATGTAAAACGGCTTCGGATTTTTTCGCCTTTTTCTTCGCGGCGAACGATAGCCGCATTGAACTCGTCGCCGACCTTAAGCTTGATCGACGACGAATTTTCGGCTTCCGCGGAGAAGCCTGCTTCCGATGAACACTCGCGTGTTGTCCCATGGCACGGAATAAAAAACACTGTCATTCACACCATTGAGGAACCTACTAGCATTGAAACAAAAAATCGCAGTCGTTTGGGAGCATTCATGAATGAACCAACTTTTGTCACGTGTATTCATCCGAACACTTTTCATAGAATAACAACCGAAAAGTGATAACGGTACCACGCTGATTAACCCACAGTACGGCCGATTCTGACCACTCGTTTACCCATCCTACGAATTCATTCCGCCTAAACAAAGACCACCTTGTCTTTTTTCTTTTCGTCGAACATTGATGTGATCTCGGCGAAAATTGCATCCGCTTTCTTAGTGGCATCGATGCGGACCAAGAGACCTGTACAAAAGAAATTGTAAAAAAATCTAAACGAGGATTACGGGGTGTATAAGATAACCGAAGACCTAATACAGTACGTGGAATGACTTGAAAGTCCAAAGAAAAAGAGGAGGAATATTCGTCGAAGATGTTCGAAGGAAAAACGATAACCATGCTTACATCAATCAACATTATTGTCGTCATTGTTGATGCATCTCGTAAGCATTTGGATTCACTGTTAGAATTACACATTAAAATATTACTTTTCCCTTGAATTACTGTCACGGGTTCAGTTTTCAGGTGAGTTCACATGCCGTAAAAACCTGATTCACCCCATCTCAATGACCTCATGAACATTTTTCAGTGGTCTACTACTGGTCTGCCATGGAAAAAAGAAAAAAATTCATCTCATCACACATTACTATAAAATATTGTATTTGAACTAGAGGGTGAATTATAAAAATTTAACTTTATTTTCTACAAATCCTCAGACCTCGCCCCATATCTTTCGGAATCGCATACTGCACCTTTCTTTCCATAAAAATCAAGCAATGGTTTTTCATGAGCGGCACCAGATTCCAGACGCTTTCTGAGCGTCGTCGGGTTATCATCAGAACGCTTGATGAGCGGCTCACCCGTAACCTGGAATTCAAAAATGTTCACATTTATCACGGAGGGGAAGGGATGCAGAAGATGAACTAACATCATCGGTCATTTCCTTCTTCGGTGGGCTGAATTCTTCGTGATAAGTGCGCCCGGAAGGTGGATGGATGAGCCTTCCCGTGATGCGACGAACCAGCAAGTCGTGCGCAATGTCGAACGATATTACCGCATCAAGTTGTTCCTTGCGTTTCTCCAACAAATTATCCAATTTTTCTGCCTGAACCAGCGTCCTCGGGAATCCATCCAAAAGGAACCCCTTCGCACACGCCGGGCGGTCTAAATTAGTGTTCACCAATTCCACAACCAAATCGTCTGGGGCCAGAGCACCTGGAATACACGCAATAAAACGAAAGTTTGAAAGCAATTTTCCAGCGATCGTTTTAATGACGAAAAAAATCCAGCTGGAAAAGATGAGAATCTTGTTTCCACATGCCGAGTTTAAACTCACACTACAAACCTAAGTTAATGGAACCACGAACAATTGGATATGCAGTGAACGAAAATAAATTTTTACTTAGCCGAAAAATTAAGGAAATGCACATTTGCCGTAATTTCTTGTTCTGTATCTTACAAAAAGGCAAAATAATATTTTCTTGATGCTTCTGTAAAAGTAGATCTAAATGAAAGGCCCCGATTCAACAATTCTGAAAAGATCACTGTCTCGTTGTTGGTCATCATCTTTGTGGAAGGACACATTCATGGAGTTCAGAACTTCACCAAAGGCGGCAATGTTTCCAGCAATTCCCTGTAACATGTCCGGCAGTTCGAGGAAAATTTTGAGGCTACTGGGATGTTCGTCACAAAATCAAAATACTAACATGCTTTAAAATTTCGGATCTCAGCGGAGCCATTTCAAAACGTTATTCACCTCATAACGAATATAACAGGCTCGAAAATATGATTTCGTTTCAGTAGTCATTCAGCACTTCATCGTAATGTTTCAAAACTGGCCAACTCACCTGCCTCCATGATTTCCTTGAGTTTCGAACCCAATTCGCTTCCTGACTTGACTTCATCTCGCAACATGTCGCCGGTTGATAGATGGCACACATCGTACTTTTTAATCAAATCTACCGCCTATCATCAAACAAATTTTCAGCGATGATGAAATAATGTTAAGGTCATTCACGGAAACAAACCTGTGTACCTTTCCCCGAACCCGGAGGACCAAAAAGGATTGCACGAATACCATCACGAGCCATTTGGCATGGCGATGGAATAGGAAACCGCCGTTCCGCATTTGGCGCCATTTCGAACCAAAATTGGGCACAGAAAAACCGGTGCAATTACTAATCGTAACTTTAAAGTAAGAAGAATAACTTCCGTTAACACTAGAACCGATGATCACAAATCCATGAGAGGTACGGGCGCACCACCTGCGCAAGGTTCACAAACAAATATATTCAAGGAGATAAACTACTTCACAATTACTAGTGCAATAACCGAATTAAACCAAACACCACAAATCAATGCAAGATCAAATCACACAAAATTCACACAAAAAAGCAATGGACTGCGTTTTTCCCAATCGAAACGCAGGTCGTAATGGCGAAGGTCAGGATTCTACGCACTTTCACTTCGCAAGTGGGGTAACAATTGTAGCAGCTGAGCGATCGTGTCATTCGGATCTTTCACGGCGTGGCCTACGGTTCTTGGATCTTCGAAAATCCTGTGGTCATTTCCACCAGGAGTCACTCTGTCTCCAAAAAAGTGAATGGCGTCGAAGTTCACATCTTCGACATATTTCAAACAATAAGTTTTGTCCCATCCCTTCGGAAATACGTCAATACTAATTTCTCCTCCTGTAAGCAAAATGACATCTTGAACAGGCCGCTTCCCATGCTCGGAAGAGTAACCTACCGATGGCGAACTCAAGACCGACTGTCTCCGGAAAACGTTCTTTCAGAGCAGATAAAAATTTCGACCTGATATTGTTTTCCTTATCGTAGAGCACGAACTCATCTCGCTCTATCTGAGAGCAAGATCTACCTATAGGACTAAGATTGATCATTCCGTTTCTGAACTCCACGAACGTTCCCCGCTTTTTTGGAAGAATCAACTCCGACATGTATTTCAATGAAAAATTCAGCAGCTCTTGCAATAGATCCTCCCCACAGTGATTGATGATGTTCTGCAAAAATTTAACTTTAGGAAATTATCGGCATCTTTCACGTTAGTCTCACCTGTCTGCCAATTAGCTCTCCTCTACAGTAAGCGTCCAACCCATTCTCGGCGAAAATATAGTCGTAGCCCGAGAGATCTACGAAAACGGGAAATGTCGCTCAGCAACCGATAATACAGCACACAAATTTATCAAATACAACCGCTTATTTCTGAGTCCGACCCAGCTATCTGTTCCACGAGTTTGGGAAAATTCGACCCGCTAACCACCCCAACGAAGACATGCTTCCGCAGAGATTCCATAATCGCCATCATTTCAGCTGACATACGCTAGACGAGCAAATACGCAAAATGTTGTCAAACCTAGCATCTGATACATAAAACATGGCAAAATGTACTTTCGAATGTACCTTCCGCTAGGCAGACACGGAAAGTCTATAACTTTAACTCACTTGTCTTGCTCTCGTCAGAGTTCCGTCGACGTCAAACAGATACAATATTTTAGAACGGCTCGACATTTTTTAAAGCCTCTTTTGTAAATTGGCAGAACTGCAACAGGAAGTCGGGAGTTAGAATAAAAGCTTGCGAAGTAGCAGGCGACAAATTCAATGTCAAAAATTCAGCCGGCAGAGAAACTCATGGCACTCATTCGCTGTCCTCCATTGCTTCGGAAAACGCAAGGTACTGTACGCAATCTTCGTGCAGCGGGTCGTTCCATGGAATCATAGGTATAACGAACTATGTCTGCGCCACATGCGTTCAACCAATCTAGAATTCCGACGATCATGACACTTGAATTCACTTACAGCACCCGTAGGAAGAGCGCTCCTACCATTCGGAAGCACCACATCACAGTTACCTCTACACTGGTAATACTGCACAAGAATACCTGGGGATTTATTCAACCACGTAACAGCCATGGACGCAACAACCGCTTGGAAACTCTCCTACGGTTCTCGCACTTCCTTAATTTATGATTCGTGACGATTCATGCTCTAGTGGCGCAAGTCGGTCGACTTTGTTCCCCTTGGTCATCTGGCTACCAGTGTGAATCCTCGTACAGCAATACACAGTACTGTAGTACTTTAACGGCAATTCTTTATTATTGAGTTGGCTATCACTTCAGTAAGGCATTACGATGACTTACAAGAGCGACATCTGGTTATATTATGTTTCACCAGTCACTCTTCCCAACTGCTTAGTTACACCTATCTCTAGATCAGCAGCACGATGGAGAGGAGCGACTGAGAGCAGCACGAGGAAGTCATTCTGTTCTTGGACCTCGACTTGTACAGTCCTTCTGACCTTTTAACCCTGACTCAGTGTTGTGTTGTGACGTCATTGAAATAAACTTGTACTTCAAGCCGTGATTGAAGATTTATTCCCCAAAACTCTTACTGGGGGCTCGTCCGTTAAACTTGGACCTGTGATCGATCACGAGCTGTACCCGACGTTCACGAAAAATGAAACGCAACACCAACAATTCCAAAGCCGCGGCGGAAGCCGCAATGGGTGATGCCAAAGAATTCCATTCCGATTCCGAATCTGAGACGGGCAAAACTGGCGCTGCGTCCAAACGACCAGGCAGCGAAGCCTCCGATGCATCCAGCATCTGGGAAAGTCTTCCAATCGCCACGTTGCAGCTCCTCGTCGACACCTATCGCCTGGGCAGACCTACCCGCAACTCCAAAGCGGAATACGCAGCGCAGCTGGACAGATTCCAAATCCCTGTCACAGCCTTCCAAGCCCTGCCACGTCCCCCTGGCATAGCTCCTTCTTGTGAGCTGGCAACAATCGTCGAAGACCCACAGCAGATTCCCATCCTTCCGCCGAAGTGGTTCGCCAACCTGCACAGTCCGGACCTGCCGAAGCAGAACAAGAATGAGGCCTTCAAAGACTACGTCATCCTTCTTTGCAACCTCCCGGCCGTCGACAACATCACCGAGGTACACCTGATTTGTTGCTTGCTGCAGAACACCTTGCCGCACATCCAGAGCATGGCGAACCGGCACCACAAGAGGGGAACCACCGACTTCAACCAACTCGTCAAGGTGATCACCCGAAGACATCCCACGCCTCATCTGGACCGCCTCGAAACCTTCCGCTGCATGAAACCGGAGTCCGACGAGTCCTACTTCAGTTTCGCCGAACGCATGCGGGACCAGTACGAAGCATTCCTCCGCTTCCCTCCGAACCTGCTCAAAATGGGAGAGCCGTTCCTGCAGCAGATCTTCATGGAGCAGCTGTTCTTCATCTCAGACGGCGGCCTGAAGGACGAACTGCAAAAGAAGTGGCTCCGGCAACCTACAATGACCTGGGACGACATGATTGAGATCGCCGAATCGTATCGACTCAACCACCGCGTCCGAAACTCATCATCGTCAGGTACCGTGAAAACAACTTCAGACACCGATCATCGCTACCACCTCGCCAATGGTGCCAGCATCACGGTCGTTACATGCGGCACGGCAGCCACGAGTGCCGATTACGCCCCAGTTCAAATGCTACATCGCGAAACGAAAACCCAGCTTCGAGTTCCGCGGCTCCCCAGACAAATATGAATACGACGCGTTCAAATAATGACTCGGGTGCTTCTCTTTGTTTTCATTGCCAGAAACCTGGCCATTTTTTAAAAGATTGTCCGCAGATGCAGGGAAACGCCAAAATTGCACAGTGAATGCGGCGCACTGTGCTTCCTTGGAACTCTCAGCCGCACCTCCTCCTATCGTGCTTCAGCTTAACATCTCAGGTCAGATTTTCTCCACGCTCCTGGATACCGGAGCATCGCATTCATTTATATCAGCCGATCTTGTGAGTTCACTTAAATTACAGACTGATTCTTCCGAAACTGCGGTACAGACCGCTCTTGGCGATAACGCCCTTCAGGCAAATCATTTGGTACAGCTAGATTTCATGTTTCATGGGACGAATATGCGCGCTCCATTTATCGTGTTGCCTAAACTCTCCGAATTCCCCCTAATCTTGGGAAGAACGACGCTTGCGCTCTTACCTCTCGCGGTTAACCTGGACGGTCAACGAATTTTTACCGGGTTTCAGGAAATTACGGCGGTTCCCGCGCGACCGACCATTCCCACAGGGCACGGCATCAATTTTGTTGACGGCACCGCGGACGAAAGGGGTCAAATCGAACGTATTCTAACCCAGTACAAATCTGTAGTGTATCAATGGTCCGGGCGCAGGGGTCTGTTCGTGGATCACGTGGCGCGGTTACCGACAATAGAGGCTGCCCCCCCCGCAACGCAGCAGTACCGCCATTCTTCCAATCGGCATATGTCCTTCGCGGAATTAATAGATCTATATCTAGAAGATGTTATCTTAGAATTAGCGGAATCGCCCTATAATTCTCCAGCTTTTTTAACAGCAAAAAAATGTCTTGACCAAACAGCCCCAGTTCAGAAACGCTGGCGGCTAGTGGAGGATTATACGGCGGTGAACAAAATACTAATTGCAGATCATTATCCGATGCCAGTAATTCAGGAATTGTTAGACGCGCTCGGTAGGAACAACCAGTACTTTTGTATGATAGACCTTCATTCCGCATTTCATCATGTCCCGTTAGCACACGAGGACAGACCTAAAACGGCTTTTACCACCCCGCGGGGACAGGTCCAGTACAAAGTTCTACCCTTTGGTTTAAAAACGGGACCCGCGATTTTTCAGAGAACGATCAATACGATCCTGCGGAAGCATTTAAACCGGCGCTGTTTAGCATATATGGACGATATCATCGTCTTCGGCAAGAACTTTGGTACGCGATGCGAAAACTTTGCGGAAATCCTCAAAACCTTGCATAAAGCGGGAGCAGCTATCGACATCAAAAAGTTGAAATTTTTAGCCAAGAAACTCGTTTTTTTGGGGCACGAAATTGATCAAACCGGAACGCGACCGGCAGAAAAGAATGTCACCGCAGTACGCAACTTTCCACGCCCGGAAACTACGCGACAAATGTTACGCTTTTTAGGCATGGCAACTTATTTGCGCGCGCACTTGCCAACCAATTTTGCTGACGCGGAAAAATTACTCTGCAGGACAATCCCAAAAAAACCGGCGGTGAAACTCGACTGGAAACCGGATTCTCTCCAGGCTTTTGATCACCTTAAAGAAGTTCTTGCGGACACAGCAAAACTCAAAAGAGTGGATCCAAAACTGCCACTCGCTGTACATTGTGACGCGTCGTCTACGAGTCTAGGGGCGGTACTGGTTCAAACCGACGAAACCGGATCAGAGCAAGTAGTGCAATACGCAAGCAGGGTATTAACCGGAGTGGAAACCCGCTATACGAATACCGAAAGGGAGTTACTCGCGGTCGTATGGAGTGTGACAAAGAAATTTCGTCATCATCTGGAGCATCGCAAGTTTACGGTTAATACAGATCATAAAGCACTCCTCAGGGAGCTGAAAACAGAACAGTTGATTAGTATGCGCATGAAGTTAGCTAGTTTTGATATGCAATTAGTTTACAGACCGGGCAGCATGCTTCAGGGCCCTGACGCGCTTAGCCAAATTTCGCTAAACGCAGCAGACTCGCGCAGGATTCCCCCCACAGAGGACAGACCGGACATTATCGCAGCATACCACGAGGAGTTGGGACATGCGGGGTGGAAAAAAGTGTACCAGACCCTACGCGAACGTTTTTTTTGGCCCAAACTCAGGCAAGACGTATGGCGGCAAATCCAATCTTGCTCCTTATGTTTTCAGTACAATATTCCGACCCAAAAAGTGGGCACCGAGTTGAGCTATATTAATTCGACAAGACCGCGAGAAAGGCTCACACTCAATTTTTACGGCCCGCTGCCCTTTACCCCGGAAGGATTTCAGTACGCGATAGTTGCAGTCGACCATTTCAGCAAATTTATGTTCGCGCGCCCAGTGTTAAAAGCCGACGTTACAACGGTAATACCCTTTATTTCAGAAATTTTTCAGCAAACCGGGGAATTCGAAACAGTCCATACGGATTGTGACTCAGTATTTAGAAGTAACACGTTTCGACTTTTTTTTATGAGGGCTTGGCATCAATCAACATGTCGCGCAAGCCACTCACCCGGAAGGGAACGGATGCTGCGAACGAGCAATCCGATCCTTGATGCAACTGCAGTCAAAGGCTACCAAGGGAAAAGAAGATCAATGGGAACGTCACTTACAAGAGTCAGTCAGGGCCTACAACATCACGCCTCATGCGACAACTAATCGGACCCCCACCGAAGTAATGTTTGGATTACCCCCCCGCCTAAATGCTGACGATCAGTTCCAGGTACCGGACTTAACTCCAGAAAAGCAACCACAGTGGCCAACCGCAGAAAGCACGAAAGCCAGGGAAGAAGTCACCAACCAGGCAAACAAGCAGAGAAATCGACACTTCCGGCCAGGGGAAATGGTGGCAATTTGCCCACGTCTCCCGACAGTGAATACTCACGCAGCAAATCGGCGGTTTCATGTTCAGAAGTTGGGTCCTTATATGGTACTCTCTTATCACGGCAACGGCGAGTATCGCGTCGGCGCGGGCCCAGATATTATTAGAGCCAATGCGTGGGAAATGATTCCATATCGCGGACTCCCGCGAGAACCGGCGACTTCTTATCGTACCCTGAGCCAAATAACGGAACCAGAGCAAACCCCAAAAATAGCTCTGCCGGACCATATTTACGCGAAAGACCCGGGTCTGCGCCCGCCTGATATAGTAATCAATATGAACAGTGACCATCCTTATCACCAGCCAGCAGCGTGGTGCCCAAATCAGCAATCGGTCGAAACAGAACATCGTTATTTTCGAAGAAAAAGAACGGGTCGACAACATGCAAGTCGAAAACAAAAATTATCTCGAAAAACCCCTTTTTTTTCTTCGGGGGGGGGGGAGAGTAAGGCATTACGATGACTTACAAGAGCGACATCTGGTTATATTATGTTTCACCAGTCACTCTTCCCAACTGCTTAGTTACACCTATCTCTAGATCAGCAGCACGATGGAGAGGAGCGACTGAGAGCAGCACGAGGAAGTCATTCTGTTCTTGGACCTCGACTTGTACAGTCCTTCTGACCTTTTAACCCTGACTCAGTGTTGTGTTGTGACGTCGTTGAAATAAACTTGTACTTCAAGCAGTGATCGAAGATTTATTCCCCGAAACTCTTACTCTTCCCACCAACGGGTTCACATCCAGGTGACTCCTTCTCCCTGCATAGATGACATTCAAGTGGTAGTGTATCCAGGATTAATATACTCTTCTGCTGGACGGATGTTTTCAACCAAGTGTGATATCACTTTGTCTCTATAATAACATGCCGTTCATTGAAAAATGTTCTCTACATTTACTAAGTTCCCCTGAATGACTGAAATTTAAATTTAAGTAAAATTTAAACTTTAGTATTTTGGTATTCCTAAACAAATGAAAATAAAAATCTTCCTGATTTTATCCAAGTACAGTAGTTTTTCATAAACTATTAAACAGTTCAAAAGTTATAGTGTATACAATATTGTATGTAATAGTACTGTATGATCATCTGCTGGGGAGTTGACAGCTTCTCCTTTACTGATACTCCATAGTTTAGACTCAAACTTTAGAGTTAGACGATTGACGTCTCATGCTGCTTGAATGTTATGTGACCATGAGTGGATGTCTAGAATATCAAGTAGTAGGAGTCGCTGTGCGAGCCCCCTTCACGGGTCTGGTCAGAATCTGAATGCCTGGCTGAATCGGCAAATCGAACCCTTCCTGTCGGTTCAGAACTTTGCTGTTGAATGTTAAGGAGGCAACTTCAGATTGAAGATGTTCGTGCATAGGAGTTGTTGAATTGCTCCGTTTCTCAGATTTTCGACAGCTGGAAAGCTGCGGAATTAGTCGGATTTGGGTTTCAGCGTGGTGAAGGGCCTGAAATAGGCCTAATCATGGCGTTGAAGAAAGTGAAAGGCAACTTGGAAAGATTGTTTGATAAGAATTTGAACGATCTTGTTCGTGGAATCCGGAACCATAAGGAGAACGAAGTAAGGTGTTCGCATTATTTTAAGAATATTCTCAGTGTCTGAATTTTTTTTTCGTTTAGGGAAAATATATTGGAACATGCCTTGAGGAAATCAAAGAAGAGTTGCGGAGCGATAGCATAGCTGTGAAAGCAAATGCGGTGGCAAAACTTACATATGTTCGTATGGTCGCCTCTTTTTTTTGTGGAGCGTTTGTAGAACGATTTTTTGGAATTTACAGCTTCAGATGCTGGGCTACGATATCAGCTGGGCGGCTTTTAATGTGATCGAAGTGATGAGTTCTACTAAATTCACTTTCAAGAGAGTTGGTTACCTGGCTGCCTCGCAGTGCTTCAGTGAAAGCACAGACGTACTGATGTTGACGACGAATATGATCCGGAAGGATCTGAATAGTCACAATCAATATGAATCTGGTGTTGCACTGACTGGCTTAGCTTGTTTCATCAGCACGGACTTGGCGAGGGATCTGGCTGGTGACATCATGTCTCTGGTAGCGTATATATTGGATTGGTTTTTTAAACTTATGTACCAACATATTTGCTCATCTTCAGTTAACATCAACGAAGCCTTATTTGCGCAAGAAAGGAATCCTACTTTTGTATCAGGTGTTCCTACATTTTCCTGAGGCTCTGAGGCCCGCATTTCCTCGGTTGAAGGAAAAACTAGAGGATCCTGATGCTGGTACAGAAATCTATGATTTTTGTAAAGGTAGCGTGGTTTTCAAGAACTTTTTTGCTCATTTCAAGGTGTTCAGTCGGCCGCAGTATCCGTTGTTTGTGAATTGGCGAGGAAAAATCCTAAAAATTACTTGCCGCTTGCTCCAATGTTCTTCAAGTTGATGACCTCGTCGACAAATAACTGGATGTTGATCAAAATCATTAAGCTGGTATGTTTCAATTCCCCTCAGCTTCTTAGTTCGTTCAGTCGTATTCTTGTTTTGTTTAGTTTGGCGCGCTGACGCCATTGGAACCTCGTTTGGGAAAGAAGTTGATTGAACCTTTGACTAAAATCATACACAGGTGAGAGCGTTAGTATTCTAACTTACCCAACATTCTGATGAAAAAAATTCAACCTTTTGCAGCACAACTGCCATGTCGCTTTTGTACGAGTGCATCAACACCGTCATTGCGGGTATTCTATTTCTCATTTTAACCGGTCGAAAAGTGTTTCACTCATTTTCTTGTCTCTCCAGTACTCATATCGATTTCTTCTGAGTTGCCGAACAACAATGCTTCAGTTCAGGTTAGTAAAAACCGAAGCAAAATCGTATTCTGAACGCTAATTATTATTATTTTTTAGCTGTGCGTGCAAAAGCTGAGAATTTTGATCGAGGACTCTGACCAAAATTGTAAGGCTGTCCAAATGTCCATGATTTTTTTTCTGCATATCATATTTTTGTTCATACGATTTCTCAGTAAAGTATTTGGGATTGTTGGCGATGGGAAAAATATTGACGACCAATCCAAAGCCTGTTCAAGCCCACAAAGACCTCATCATGCAATGTTTGGATGATAAGGATGAATCAATTCGTCTTCGTGCGCTGGACCTTCTTTACGGCATGGTATGAAAGAAATTCGATAATGAGGCTGAAAAAATGAAAGGTTAGTGAGATTGTAACTTTGTTTTCTTTCTGCAGGTTTCGAAAAAAAATGTGATGGAAATCATCAAAAAATTGATGGTTCATATGGAGCGAGCTGAGGGTAGTCATTATCGGGATCAACTTCTGACGAAGATCATCTTCATCTGTTCCCAAAATCATTATCAGCATATTACCAACTTCGAGTGGTTAGTATTGATCTCTCTGCGGGAAGTGTAGCTGTTCGTCCTGTTTTTCTTCGCGATTTACGAAATATTTTGATGTGCTGGAACATTTGTAATCTCTTAGCATTTCTTGGAGACGTCTGATTCTTTATCGCGCATTTCTCGTGCTCATATCCTTTCTTCCGCTGTGTATCCAGTCTTTTACTCGGATGAATTATGACACCGTGTGAGAAATTTTATCTTGATACGAACTTGATTCCGACCTCTTCAACTGTGCAGAAACTTTTCGGAAAACCCCGTTTTCCTGTGGATTCACTGATCACTGAACCTATTTGTTTTCGCAGCAGCTTTTCTTTGCTTTAAATTCATTCTCTCTACCTATTCGTAATTTAGCCACTAGCGTACTGTACTTTACTCGTAAACATGCCTAATTGTTTGAATCAGACGAACGAGAATTTGAATCAAACTGACGGTGAGATTCGACTTCGTGAACTGCTAGCTCTCTTTTTTTCCATGTTAAGTGATCGTTGGTACTCTCATTTTCGAATTAGTGAGTTTTACAGTGAATTCTAGTCATGCGAGCTGCCCCACTAATGGTTATGAACTATACAGGTATGTATCAGTGCTGGTGGAGATTGGGAGCATGGAAGGAAATAGACGTGGTGACCTGGTTTGTGACCAACTGATAGACGTTACGGTTCGAGTTCCTGCAGTTCGAGGTTTTGCCGTAGCGCAAATGGCGCTTCTGCTGGAAAACGCAGAAATTCTTCTCGTCAGTTCACAGGCCTCTGGTTCCACCGCGCCGAAAATTCTGCTAGCTGCCTCTTGGATTTGTGGGCAATTCCCGCAGTAAGTCGCAAACTATCGATTTTTATTTTATGAAATTGCCTAATTTTTCTCCGTTTTCTTCGAAGGCACCTACCCGATCCGCGGGCTACGTTAGAAGCTATGCTTTTTCCCAAAATGAGTCTGCTTCCGGTGGACGTTCAGGCGTCATATGTTCAAAATGTAATGAAAGTTTTTTGCTTTCTCGTGAATCGTGCCGAAGATGAGAACGACGCCGAAGGAATTCCTGAGGTTAGTTTGCGAGAAAGTCTTTCGAATGAAGAGGAAATAATCTCAAGTTATTACAATCACATTCATTGCTATCGAGGGCAGAATGTTCCTGGAGTCAGCAATTTGTTTTTTTCGAGATTTGTGTACTGTAATCTCAAAATAGTTATTACCGAATACTGTATTGCGTTTGTATTTTTTCCGAAAAAAAAAGGTCCATCTTACCTCTTCCCGTTTTCCGTGATGATAACGTGCGTTTTGCACAATTTTTAACTATTTTAAGTTTTAAACAAGAAATGCTATATCGGTCGAAGATTCATAGTCTCTATGGAAAGAAAAAGTAGGAATGAAAAATGCTTCAATTTTGTTCAAGCTGGCGTCATTGAACGCTTATGATCATTTGTATTTGTGGTTTTAATGATTCCTTTGTTACAGGATTAAAAGATTTTTCATTTTGCAGATATGTCAAGCTCCTCTGGAGAGAATGCCAGAGCTCGTTGCAAGTGGTGATTTGGAAATCCAAGAAAGAGCTGCCACAGCTTTGGCTTTGATTCGCCTTGTTTCTCAAGGAATGGGGGAAAACATGGGAGGATTTCTAACGTCAATATTCGCTAGTGAATTGAATCCTGTTGCCGCCAAGGCACAGCGGAAAGTTCCAGTGCCATTAGGGTAAGTGTTTTCACCTTTGATAGCAGATTGACGGAATCCCTTCTTATGAGACGTATTTTACTTTTCGGACTTCACTTTTATAATTTTTTTTTAGAAAAAGTTCTGCTGACGTTCCTATGCGAAATACGAAACTTCATGATATAACAGAATGCAATTTTATTTTTCATTCGCACATTCAGTTTGAATGTGATGAATTCAAGTGAATATTGTACGTTCGTTGACTTTTCCCTTCACCATTCCGTATTTATTTTTATTTTTTCCTTTACTTTTGCCGTTGGAAGCTTCGTAAAATGTTTCGCTTTTAGTCTCGATTTAGATGCGTGGATAAACGAACCTGTGGAAGTTTCTTTATCCTCCGATGAGGAAGAGGCCGAAGAAGCCTATTCCTCTTTGGATAACCGCACCAATCTGTTCTTCGGCAATTCAATTCAAGATGCGGATCGCGCAGAAAAGAAACCAGAAATGACCGAAGACGAACGTCGAAAGGCTAGTATTGATCCAGGCGTTTTTATAACCGAAAAAAAAATTTTTTCTTGTATGCTTATAGCATCGGGAGGCGAGAAAAATTGAAATAGCTAGCAATCCACATTACCTAAAAGATGCCACATCATCAAGGCCTTCATCGCAGATGCTAGTTGTCGGCGATATTCCAGTCACTAAGCTGGACCTCAACGTTCCCCTTCAAATTCCGGGTAGGTTTTGTGTTTTATTTCTTTCTGAAGGCATGCCCGTATTTATAGTCAATTTTAAGTGTTCACTTCAACTTGTTTTTGCGAATACAGTACCAAGCAATTTTGGGTGAGATAGGATGATAATACAGTGCCAGAAAATGTTCGTTCATTACTCATATGATGGCATTTTCGATTTAAAAAAAATATTTTTGACGTCAAAGCATGGACAAAAAAGCCGTAAGAATTGTCTGATATTTTTCACCCGCGTATTTAACTCGTGGTCGATTTCCTGGATTAGCTACGATATCATACGTGAAGCTCATCTTTTTTATTTAAACTCTACTCTTATCAGTTTTTGCACTGTAACTTCTCGGGCGCATTGTGTAAGCTAGAGTACATCACACTGCAGCCTATGGGATTGCACGCATCCCGAAGCTTTTTATTGAAATACTGTACTGTGTTCGGCAATTTCAAGTATCCTATGAGAATCATCTGATGAAGAAACAAAGAAGGAAGTTTTCAGGAAAATGCGAATGCAAGATGTCACTAAAAATTTTGAGTTTGGATTCCGCTAATTGTGATATATTCAACCCGGGTTTTGGGTTTTAGGCATGGTTACTTCCGATCGATATTTGAACGCGACAGACGCTGCATCAAAGAAGCAGAAAAAAGAGAAGAAGAAATCGAAGAAATCTAAGAAGGTTACTAGTGTCAGTGATGAAGATATTCTAGAGAAGAATGAAGAAATTGAGAGACCAGTGGTTTATGCTGAACCCGGCGAGATGCCAGATGGAGTTCTACTTTCAGATGAGGATCGCCCAGATCCTCGACCTGATACCGATCCTCACAAAGCGCTTGATATTGATCTTGGTCCAATGTGAGTCATCTGTTTTTCTCGATGTACAGTACTTTATTTCGTGGCATATTGTGTCTCACTTCTAACGCAAATTGTTTAGTTTTTTTCTTTGCACAAAATTCACATATTAGTTTATAGTTTATCTGATCAAAGCAGCTTGAGTCTTAACCTGCTTCAGTTTTGGCTTGACTTCAATGTCGAACTTAAGCAGAAATTCGTGATTCGCTCTGAACTAATAATTTTTATTCTAATGCTTTTTGTCTGGTTTTTTTTTGTCATCTTCGCCTGTTTTTCGCGTATACTAGTTTATGTGTTTTTTAATGCTGATTACGTGCCCAGTGTTTTTCAGAAAAGTTGCTTTTAAATTGCCGGTGTTGAATGCCGAAGTTCTGGTTGATCATTTTGGATAATGTACGATCAACTTTTTGCAGGGTTCCGAAAGTCGAAAGTGGCGTAAAGAAAGAGAAAGAGAGTAAGGTCGTGAAAAAGAAGAAGAAAACGAAAAAGCATTCCAAAGTAGACGGCCTGAACGATGCTACAACGGACGATTTGCTTGTGATAGCCGACCCCGTCACCAACGGTTATGCTCAGACGAAGAGTTCCTCCAAGCACAAGAAAGACAAAACGGAAAAGAGCCGACTTAGGAGTGAGCCCAAAAGGAAGAAAGAGAAGCGGAAAGATTACGAGGAAGCCGAAGGAATTTCAACCAGCGCTTTGGAAGGGCTGAATGGCGAGAATAACCACGTTGCCCTTCCGTTTCCGGAGAAAAAGCTTGTGGAAAGCAAAAACTTGTCTGCTGTGAGTCATTGGGGAAAATGTTTTTTCTTAAAGGATTTTTTAAGCTTCTTTTCCGGAACATGAATCGATATTTGCATCGTAAAGTTAGCAACTATTTTTCTTCAACCAAAATCTCGTGAAAGCTCTCCGATTTTTTCGATTCACTGACAGCTATGGAAATTACCTTTTGAATTAAACTCAATGTTATAAAGGAAGAGGAATATCCGTTGAAATTTAGTGAGAGATAATTTTGCAGGGCTCTTTTCTTCCTGCGATGACTTTTTGGCCTAAATTGTTCATGAATAATATGCCTTCATTAAGTATTCCCAATGCGTCTGTTAATTTTTTATAACGCTGCGTTATTTGCTTTGTTTTTCCCAGAATTTAATGACCGAAATCGATCATTGGTATTCTTTGACAAATTTTTTTTTTTCAGAGTTACCAAGTGGGTGTGATGGACGAAGACCGTGATCGTGTTACTTTCCTCTTGAATCTGAATAATATCGGGAACTCTCACCTCCAAGCATTCGATTGGAAACTGGAAGAAAATATGAACTTATTTCAAGTAAGTATTGTTGCGACATCTGCTTGAATTAAAATGTCAACAGCAAAATGGCATGCAATTGCAGAGTAGGTAACTGCGACCTTCTTTTCAAGTATTGCTGAATAAATTGCCTTTATTTATGTGAGGGTTTTTTAACGGTTAATTAGCCGGTCAGTGGGCTATGGTGCGTGCCTCTATTCTGAATTTTTCATTTCAAATTTTACAAATACGTGTTGAGGTCGGTTAAGTGTCCGTTTTCGCGTTGGAATCCTTACTCGTGCGTCCTACATTTTAAAATGGTTCCTGAGGAATCCTTCGCTTGGAATTCAGACTAAAATTTTATTTGAAAGATCATGTTGGTCAAAAGCAGGCATACAGTACTTAACCGGCGAATAGAGAGACACTTCCTGACTACTTCGCCCTAATTTTTTTTTTTTTTTAAATGTCTTCTACCCTTGGGAAGATTGTTTTATTTCCTTGAGTAATACTTAATTTTTTGACCGTCAATATATTTTAATTAAATAAAAAAAATCGACGTTGGATGAAATTTCAAGGACGAATTTCAAATGAGTACAGTATTACCATTTATAATATTTGGTCTGCATATTTTTTACGGCAGAAATTTTTCAAAATATAATGTCAACGGTGAGCGAAGTTCTTCACTGCATCTATTCAATTTTGATTCAGTTACATGTACGAGTATATTTTTGGGATATATCCCAAAGGAAAATCGTATCAGCTCATTTTCTCAGGATTTAAGCTGTCAGCGCATAAATGAGTGGATTCTTCTTTCCGATTCCACTTGAACAAAATTAAAAGTCAAGAGAATGCAATTTTCTCAATTTATTTATATTTTGTTCAAACTAGGCCCTGCGAAAAAATTAAATACTGTGCTTTATATCCAATAAGGTATGGGTTTTGGTTTTATGAAATCTGCTCCGAATTTATTCATTTTTTGTCTACGTTTTGTGCTGTAATGTATGTGGAGAAGAACAGTACCGTTCTTCTCAAATTTTTTAGAAATTCAATTGTGAAAATCTTTGAAAACACAAGTTCTAGAGATGCCAAATTTTCATATTTGATTTCTCGTTATGTTCGTTGATTTTTTATGCGTTGCCCAGGTTGCAAGCTCGTCGTCGCTGTTTCCTCCGAACCTTGGGCCGAAAGAAACCCACCCCGTGCGGTTACTCTTCAAAGTGAATTGCATGACCCAGTCGACTGTTTTACGAGGCACTCTCTCTTATACAGAAGTGGTGAGTTATTTTGATTCATTGCCCTTAAGAAAAATGTATGAGTAATTTTTCAAAATGCTTGAATACTCAGTGTTCATAACTTCGAATTATTATCGCCTGTATTTGATCCATTGCTACTCTCATTTTTTTTGTTTCAAGAATGACGATGGGGAAACAGAAAGGGAGGAATTGGCGTTTCGAGCCGTATTTCCGGTTACTTCTTTTTTCGATGACGTTTCCGGAAGTACTCCTGATGTCGACGGATTCACAGCATTACTAAGCTGCGGGGACTTGGAGGCTAAAGCTGGAATAATGATCGATTGCGAGTCTTTGAACGAAGACGTCGAAAATAGCTTCAATAAAGTGTTGAAGCGAGTTTGTTTTGCTGGCCGATTGCAACTCGTAGAAGCCGTGGAGAAGTCAGCGTCGCTTCTGGGAAGAACTATGGAGGGGCACTCAGTTGCGCTTCTCATGAAAGTTGTTGTGAGTGATTATATTCACTGTTTTAAAGAGGCATTTGAATTCAGTCTGGTGGTGCTCCGGTAAATGGATTGCAAGCGTTCCTTAAAAAATTTCATTTTCTGAGAAGTACTTCAACCGAGTAATGTGAAGCTTGATGGAATGTAAATAAATTGAGATTCATGAAAATTTCCGTTAGTTATGGAATACACTTACTAAAAGCGATGTGTTCGCGTTGTAATTGTATGAAATAACACTAAGAACGCCCAAAGCCGAGGAGAACAGTGATGAAGGATACCAAGCAAGTTTGCATTGTCTTGAACAATTCTGCTGACAGCCGCATTTCCCACTGCCACTTTTTCACTTTGTTAAACGATAATACAGTATGTTTTAATTCAGTCTGTTTTCGTTGGGGAACCCAACGCAAAAATCGCTGGCATTCCGAATCCTTTGTTCGAAGAGATCGTTTTTGACGTCGGCTTTTCGGGGTACCACTTCATAGCTGGGTGTTTTTCACTGTAATTTCTGACCTATATTTCGTAATGAAGGGCAGGTAGTCGCCTGAATTGCTTCTACGTACAGTACAAGGCATTCAAGGTGACCTTACCTGAATTATATGTAACGAAGTGAAAACAATTATTAACCTTACATCTACCCAGTCGAAATCAAGAATGAACCTCTTCATGTTTTGATGATCAAATTTTTTCAAATTCTATTCTTTTCAGGGGAAGGGCAAGCTTTCGATTGATGGAAAGAGCAATGACCAGCAGCTTCTCTCGAATGTGTTAGACGAAATTCGTGGATTCCTCTCTGTTGTTTAGTGTCGCTATGGGAACGTTGCCTCAGTTGCTTCTCTTTTACCCAGCTGCCTTTTTTTTTTCAATCCGTGAGAAAAGTCGAGCTTTGTGACGACGATCAATTTTAGGAAAAACCATCTGCACGTTGTGACGTTTTCCTCATTCTGCCGCTTTGTCTTTTGATTTGGTGATGGTGTTCTTTTGGAGAAGAGCACCTTTTTTGCCGATTATTGGGGAAAAGCTTGATGGGATTTAATCTTCCGAATTGTACATAAAAAAAGAGGTTGCTGTAATGTGAAGGTTATTTTATTCTTCTTGAAGTGGATATGAATCGGATATTTTGGAAGATATTATTTTGTTTTTTCTTCGATTTAATTTTGAGGATGGGATTATTTGGAGATGAAACTGTCTGCTGCGTTTTGTTTGAAGGGCAGGCATGCCTCTGTCCGGAGATCTTACTGTGCCGGTAAAAAACAAAAAAAAAGAAAGAACTGTGCTGGAAATATTTTATTGTGGGAATTTCGAGACAATAAATGCAAAAGTATGCAGTGATGCTTTATTTCATTTTCATTACGAGGGGACACCGTCTCTGTTGATATAAAAACACTCGGTATGATTATTCTAACCTTTTGTTTTCTAGGATCGATTCATTGCCTCAAGTTGTGCCGCGGTTACAGTGAAAGGAAGAAATGAGGAAAAGGGTGAGTTTTGTCGAAAATTTTCAAGTGTGATGGGTCCGTAACATACGATGGTGCCTTTGTGAGCAGAAATCTCAAGTTGAAGGAGATAACCAGGAAAATAATGACTTCAAACGGAGACTCGTTTTGCACCCTGACAAGCTAAAAGATTTCGACGACACGATTTCGGGTTGGCATGACTTGAATGTGCCTTCTGACATCATCTCCGGTTTGAAAGATATGGGATACACAGAACCGACTGCTATTCAGGTAATTGAGATGGTTTTTTTTTTGCCTGTTTATGTATTTCCTCTTGTATGATACCAGTGTACACCAATTTTCGTTTCGAGAAATTCGTATTTTCCGGATCGATTCTACGGAAAACGCATTCTAAACATTTTGCGCCCTTTCTCCATCGTTGTCCTCTTCGATTGTTCTGCTGTATTGCTCTTGTATTATATTTGACACACTATATTATTTTATCATTTAATGTCGTGGAATTTGTTTTTGATTTTTCATCATGTATCTGGGTACAGGTATTTTACGATTATTGAGGCAATGATTAGAAAAAGTTCATGAAATGCGTTGATAAAAACACGAAGGTTACATCATCGTATTTTAAATAATTAAGATTTGACCGAATCAGAATTTGTGCTGTTTATTATTTTTTTTATCCACAATTTCAATTTAGAGTAACAGGAAATGAATGTTGATATTTTAGACTAGGCGTCGTCTTGATGTCGAATTTTTGTTATAAGATGATCCTGTAAAGGCTTTTAGGTATCATTTTCGAGGAAAATGGTGACTTTACTTTGACCTTGAGCCACTTCTGCACAAATGTATCCATTTGTTCAGAAACCAAAAATGTCCTAGAATTCAACCAGATTTCCTACTATTGTGCAAAAATAATCGAAACTTTAATGTGCTGTTTCTAATGCAGAAAGCAGTAATCCCGAAAGCTCTGCGAAAAATGAACATTGTGGGAGCAGCGGAGACGGGTAGTGGAAAAACATTGGCTTTTGGAATCCCCATTTTGGCCGGCATCCTGAAGAATCGAGCAACGTCTCAGATTATTCGAGTAGAGGATGATGATGATGACGACGATGACGAAGTAGAAGACGACGATGCAAATTTCATGGTGGAAGGAACGCTGGAAGTTTTAGACCCGGAAACCTATGAACCGATCGAATATCACGCTCTCACGAAGGAATCCGAGTCGCAAAAAGCAAAGGCCAAGAAGCAATCTTCGCGCGAAGATCGTGAAATTCAGGCCGTGATTCTTTCGCCGACCAGAGAGCTCGCTCAACAAATTTGGCAGGAAATCAGCCTTGCAGCGAAGCACACTGAAATTTCCGTGAGTATCCACCACCCCTTCATATTTTGAGCTGAGTTTTTAATGTTGATGAATTGTGTCAGACGTGTTTGATAATAGGGGGTCTGAGCGAAGCTAAGCAAATCAGGATCATGGAGAAAAGAGGGGCGGATATCATCGTCGCGACGCCGGGACGATTGTGGAGATTTATTGAAGAAGGAAACTCTTTGTTCGAAGGCGTAATTCGATCAAAATATTTAGTCATCGACGAAACTGACAGAATGCTGGAAGAGTCGCATTTCCGTGAACTTCATCTTCTCCTCGACAAAATGAAAGAGGATGAGGTTGCTACGAAGCATAGACAAATGCTAGTTTTTAGTGCCACATTGACGCGATGGATGTCGAATGCCCAAGAAGGCGTAGCGTAAGATAAAAAATTTAGTTCTTATTTTTTTTATCTGGTAATATAAAAGCCGTCGTGTTCCGGTTTTTTTTTGTTCTTCAGGAGGGATACGAAAAGCAGCTTGACGCTGCTCAAGAAACTTCTTCGACTTCCCGATTCGCTGTTCCAAGTTGTTGATTTGACTAGATCGCAGGGAACGTCTGAGAGACTGCAGGAGTCCCGGATACTTTCCACTCGGGAAGACAAAGACGTTTACCTTTCTTATATCTTGGAGAAGGTTCGTTTATCTTTTTTTTTCTCCTCGAGTTACGATGGTATTCCATGAAAAATTTGGAAATCAATTCAAACTGTTGACAGTGGTCCTGAAATTTGTCTCCAATTTTCCAGTAGACTTTCATACTAACTTACAAATAAAATTTTGCATTAATTAAATAAATTGTGAGGGCAGGAAGCCATACCGGAATTTTTTTCTGCAACTCCAGAGACGACACAGAAGTGAAATTTATTTTTAACTCGCCGAACTCTTCAAATCTATTTTTTGAAAATGGTATACCCTGCGCTGAAAACTACCCTCGTCGAACGAGATGACTCGCGGAACCTGAAATACCCGTGTTTGATTTGACTTTTAATACAATACAGTACTGTACAGTATTTAAAGAAACAGCTGCGAATGCTGTTGCCGTGTTTCCAAAACATTCATTTCTTTATGATCGCAGGTTGGAGGCAGAGTGCTGGTGTTTACCAACACGATTGCTACTTCGCAGAGACTAAAGGGAATATTTTCTTGGCTTGGAATGGACCCAAAGCTTCTCCATGGGAAGATGACCCAAAAAATGCGACGTGTCAATATTGAGGAATTTGCTGCTTCGCCGGAATCCGTTCTGATCGCCTCAGAAGTCGCCGCGCGTGGGTTACACATACCAAATATTGATTTGATCGTGCACTATGATGTGCCCAAAACGGCTGAGGTATGTATTCCACTGTTGACGGAACTTTCGGTTTCTTCAACTTTTTTTCTTCAAGGTACTCTTCTCATGTCTTCTCATATCTGATTTTTTTATTTTTATAGATGTATATACATCGAAGTGGTCGAACTGCCCGTGCCTTTGCAAATGGTGGAAGTATCTTGCTCATCCTTCCTGAAGAGGTGGAAAAGTATCGGAAGCTGTGCCGGAGCCTCGGGAAAGGTTTGTTGTAAATTGGGCAATTTTTGATTCGTTTGTTGTCATTTATTTGCCAGGAGGTTCGTTTCAAATTCTTGTTAGTTTGGGTAGATGACGGTGGCTGTTAGAATGAGAATTATATTTTATATCAACCACTTCTTTCCATCTGCTTCCCACCTTCTTCGGCTTCTCGAAAATAATTCGTATAATAGAGCACGAGGACTGACCGGGCTGGTTGTTGGTGACAATTTTGTGAAATCATGCCACTCTGCACTTTTTTATGCTTTGAGCTATTCATTCGAATTTGTAACAGTAAGTTTACCGTCAATGAATTTGATGCGCCTTTGGGAGAAGTTCACCAAGTATTTGAAAAAGGCCGACATTTTCATCGCAAAATACCTTTTTGACCACCGTATGTTTTCCTGGGTTCACTTGGTATTTTAGTTCTAATTTTATAAAATTATTTCTTGCCGTGATCATGAAGAGTCCGACTTGAAGGATTATCCAGTGGACGGCTCGTTTTTCCCGAGAGCTAAAGAGCGATTGTCCCTCGCCGAAGAAATTCATGCCCTCGATAGGGCTTTGCAGAAATCCAATCAAGACAACCGCTGGGTCTCCAAAGTGAGAAGCGAATGTGATCTAATCTTGAGCGAAGATGAGGACATGGGGTATGTGTTACTTGATATTCACTGCCTAAGTTTAAATCAAAACATAGTCAAAACGCTTCGACGTGTTTCTACAGGGACAGTGACGATGATCGTCCACGGAAAAAGAAGAAATCCGTCAACGTAGTGAAGAAAAACTCGAGAGTACCCAAGGTGTCGAAAGCATCACGAGCGCAGGTTGCTCGATTTGAAATGTTGAAGCAGAAACTGCGTGGTTTGATCGCCAAAACGACGTTTTCGAAGAACCGGGGAAGTAAACCACGCGTTGCTTGAGGAATAGTTGGCTCATTTTTATTTTTCAAACCATGTATTTTTTTTAATGTACTGTATTTCATTGCTCGATACGGAAAAATCTCAAGTTTCAAAGTTTGCCAACATCAGACTGCCAAAAAAGTTACTGCGCAGTGAGAAATTTGAAATCCAGTACTGTATGATGAAGTTCCGTACTTCGTCCTATCCTACCATTGGCGAAATGTGTCAGTTCAGAAACTTTAAATTTCACTAAGTATAATTTTACTTCAAAGCGAGAGGAAGTATAATAAGGAGTTCAATGTTCATCTTGTGTGTGCATGAATAGTGCAGTATCTTACCAGAATTTATCCTGTTCCCTGTTTTCTCTAGTGATGGGGGATTGCTTTTGTATTTTTCTGTATGATTTAATATTCCAACAATCTGGAAGGATTCAAGCGAATTTCTGTGCATTTCTTAATGTGTTTCGCTCAAGTAATAAGACCAAACCTTGTTCCTGCTTTTCTACTGCGCGGGAACTTCTTGTTTCAACCCGTGATGGAAACCGTAATCTCGTATGATCGAAGTGCTGTTGGAGCTTGTTCATTTTCTGTGATTTTAATCCATCATAAGATTAAATACAAATTAAGGCATTAAGTCTTGAACCCTATCAAGTTTTCTCTTTGGATCAACTCTCCCCAGAAAAATGATCCACGTTTCTGCGCTAAGGACCTGATCCAAAAAATGGATATGGAGATGGAACCGAAAAGTAGCCTTGAATTCGAGCGTTTTGATTTTCTCATTTGAATGTTTTGGCAGATATATAAATAGAAAATATGGTGTTGACGAGTTTGGTGCTGTACAGTCGTGTGAATCTTAAAGCGAACGTTTGGTACGACAAATACTGGCGCCGGCGTCAGCTCTTCTTGCATTCGGCCGTGAGTTTAAAATTTATTATTAGATACCCATAATTTTCAACACTAAAGAGACTATTTTTCTTCGCAGCATTTCTTCCGTCGAGCCCGGAACATCTACAAATTAGCAATACGAAGATTCCGTCGTTCCATGGTGAACGCCACTAAAATGCGTCCCCTGAAGAGGACTGACATGAGAGAATTGAACACTGCTAGGATCATGGCTGCTTGTGAAGAGCTGAATGCGCCGTACGACGGGTTCATGGAAGGATTGGCGCGTGCTGATGTGGCACTGGATCGGAAAACCCTGGCGCATTTGGCTAATTGGGAACCGCGAACTTTCAAGGGCCTCGTGTCCGTCTCGAGTGGGTTAAATGACGCGCTTGTCTGCCCGCCACCGGAAGGTGTCATCACTCGCGGGATGTTGTGAAAAATGTGTTCAAAATGCAGTGTACTTGTTTAGTGATTCTGGTGGATTATTTCATATAATTCCTGCTTTCTATGTCTTTTTTTGTAGGACAAGAGCATTATCTACCGTTGCATATTTCGATGCTATGTAAATATCTCATGGTTTGCTGGTGAACATTCCGACTGGGAATTGATAAAAGAAGGTACAGGATTTAAATCGTTCCCTGAATTTGACCAACTCATTGAACTAAAAATAGGCATTTTTTCCCCCTCAGTTGCCAGAGAAATTGGCACCCCTGTGCCATCATCTATATTCTAAAAGATGCAAATCGCGACCCACTATGAAGTGTCAGTGAAGCTTTTTGTACAGGTAGATGTCGCTCCAATAAAATAGTAAGTCCAAAAAGGTCAACAGTAATGTAATTGCATACAGTATAAGTAGTTCAAGTACAGTTGTTGAGTTCACATGAATTCCCAACTCAGGAAAAATTCATGAGTCAAAAGATGAGCTGTACTTGTAAGAATGCAAGCCTATGATTCTGTGAATCTCAATCAAACGAAACACGTAAATATGAAAAAAACTTGAAAGAGCAACAATCAATTATCTTTTCTTGTTTAGGCTGAGTTTGAGTAAATTAAAGCCATTTTATCACTTTCGCATAGGACTAAAGTTATTCAGATCGCCGTTTTAATCTTTTTTCATCTCCCCTGTGGTCGAATTTTGAAAATATAACGTAGCAATGCATCTTCTATCGGAGGGCATATCTCCCGTTCAGATTTAAAAAATGTTTTTGGAAATAGCATTTGGTGGGGGCCCTGAAAAACTGATTTGTTCCATAGCTTTAATACGCTTGTAATGATGGAAAAAAATATTCCCTCTGCTTTTATTGAAAAATTCCATCTTTATTCTATTGAAAAGCAATGAAGTAAAAAAGGCGGGAATTTTCTTTCTGAAAGATGGAGTAATTATTTTTTCACTCTGTCATCCAAGTAAATAATTATGCTGTTTGAATTAATATGATTTCCGAATAAATAAGCGTCTACTTTATGCTCAACAGTTACAACCTAACAAGAGCAGTGCCTGAATGCTGTATGTTCGCTATAGGTTATACGAGCAACATCGTTTTTTTTTTTCAAGAGCAGGGTATTTTTTTCTTCTATTTTAGTGAGGGCAAGGAAAAGTTTTTTCCACGTACATATTTTTGGAGAAATAAATGCGTTCTTTTAGCTGATCGTTCTTCCTCAGCGGCTTTCAGAGCATAGGACACGAGACACGTTCCGAGGATAAGCTCTCGTCCGAACCGTGATCCAGGTCAAATCAGGCAACTCGTGCATCAAAAAGGGAATTTCTGAAAATTTCGGATCTCTGCCAAAATGCACATGTGCCGGAGACATCGTGGGCATAGCCAATAATATGTCTGCTGGATTATTCACTGGGTAGTGTGGTTTTCAAACACACTGTGCTTTACATACATACGAAATAGAATGCTTTACTCCTGTAAAAAAAAAAAAAATGTTCAAGATATTATTTCTCGGTGGAGTTTTTGGCCCCTACTAACCTTGTTCCTAGCTAACAAACAATGTTTGAAAAGTTTCTACAGATGCTTGCAAAGAGGGATCCAGCAGGTTGCAATTTTTTCTGAGATCAAATCAAAAACTTCGAATTTTCTGAATGAAGGATAGGAATTGTTTCCATATGGCTCAAAAACACACCTGCTCATGAACATTATGCTGGAAAAAGTGAGTTTGTTAGCCAAGACCCTACTTCATAAAAACAGCGGGTCTCATCATCTCATGGCTCATTTAAATCACGTAACAAACATTAAAAAAAAATGAAATAATTTTTCAAGTTTTGAGTTTAAACTTTTTACAGATATACTGTACAAACATTGAACAAGAAAATAAAATTTTGCCTTTTCCATTACCAAAAGTTGTGAATTTCAGACAGTTAAGAACTTCAGATTATTCAAAATCAATTGTCCGATGTTGAAATACAGTAATGTACTGTACTTAAGTGATGTATATACTGTACATTTGAAGCTCTCTAAGCGAAATTGATTTAATGGACTCCAAGAAATTTTGACTCACTGAATACGGTCTGATATATGTGTAGGTTGTTCAAAGAAAATTATTTCTGGCTGATTCATAAAGAAACTCATCATTATAGAAATCCTCACTGAAAAAAATTGCTTGTACAGTACAGTATATGATTCCTTATATCCCGCATATACTGTACTGTATACAGTACTCCCTTTAGGAAAGCATTAAGCAGCAACAGCATCATTGAACATTTGACTAATGATGGATAAGTAGGAACCAAAAAGTTCTGACTTGAGTTTAAAATGTCAATGGTGTTGAGGGTATATTGAACAGGGATTCACAGGAAATTCAATTTTGGGAGGTTACATTACAAGAGGTTGATGTGCTCAACTCATGCTTGATGCTTCAGATTCAAAGATGAAACTTGACTATCTAAAAAAAACAATCCCAAAATTTTGTGATGATTCTGTGTTATAGCAGGGGAGATCCTTTTCAAAAAGGAGAGGTATCCTTACAGTGAGTAAAGGCATCATCAACATAAATAATGGGACTTTCACTGATGCACATAAGAGGCACCAATTTTCGAGTTAAGGAAATTTTGGAAATTAAATTTAACGCTCACTGGCTGTGAGAACCCCTTTTCCATCCTGTGGCAAAAAAACAGATTTTTTCACCCACATACAGGGACATTTCAATTGACCAAAGGTCACTGAAATGCAACTGGGTTGAGAAGAGCTAACTTGGGAAAAACCTGCAGAGGGTGAATCCTCGTGTTTTCAAAATTTTCAAACACTAATCCTATGCTAGGAGTGCATGCAAAATGCCATCCAGTGATTATTTTTTTCAGGCAAAATTTTCTGCAGGATTAGAAAAAATTTTGAATTTTCCCCCAACTTTGGCCCTAGTAATAAAAATGTAATTTTATTAATTTGCAGTGCTCATGAGCACACAATTTTGCAAAAGTATCCCAACTTTGCTGCACAAGGGTTATAAGGGGGTTTTTTCACTACAGACTTTGACCTGTTCAGCACACTTGCCGGATGCTTCAGACAACATACAAAGATGAAACTGCGCAATTGTACATCTATGCAACAACAACAACAACAACAACAAGAAAACCCCATCCCAGAATTTTGCGATGCTTCCGTGTTTTACAGAGGAGATCCATCTCGAAAAGGAGAGGGATCTTTGCAGCAGCAGCAGCATCAGTATAGCATGCATCAGAGTATAGCCAGCACTGTGGCCTGTCTCAGGGACGCCAAGTATCCGGGGCTTTGAAGAGCTGTGTGGCGATCAGGCATCGCTGCTCACCGCTTGTCCTCGTTTCCGCTGGGGCATGTCCACCATACGTACGGAGCCCTATGCTGTATACAACACACACATACACGTCTATAAGAACACCACACGCAGCAGCAGTCGTGGCATTAAGAACGGAGACGTCGACATCCTATAGTTGAGCTTCTATGTTACTCTCCCTCTTTTCTTTCTCATACATACATCTATACATTTTTTTTTTTTTGGTTTTGCGACAACCGTGAAGCGAATATTATTGCCACATCGGTGCGCCTCGGAACCGCGGGGAAGATTTTCAGCAGGGAAACATTCTGGGCGGGATTCAGCGATGTATCGATCCGATTGGTATCAAGTAATGCCGCAAGGGTAACAGAGTGCATTTTTCTCTATTTTTCTTTGCATCAATACGCAGTACTACTTATTTATTATTCGGGTACTGCGCGGTAGTGATGCTTTATATATGGCGTCAAAGGGAATTCAGAAACGCGGTTTCAAGCGTCGCGTCAGTACACGTCGTGTCTCATCGGTGACCAACACTGACGCCATGATCGAGAAAATACCACCGTTGAGAAAACGTCGCAGCAGCAAAAAACAAAAACAAAATGGAAGTATGACTCCAGAGAAAAATTGCGTGAAAAATGAAAGATTACGGACGATGATACTTTATAACTCGTTAGTTACTTTTCTTTTCTGGGGCATCGCAGCTTCACGGATATTTTTGCATCAAATTTTAGAGAACAAATCCAGGCCTGTTTGAAAAAATGGTCGATTTGTATATAATCAAACTGAAAACGTAGTGAAAAGAAACACAAACGGAGGTAAAATATATTTGTCATTGCTCCAAGGGTATATGATAAAATCTTCTCCGCATTTTTTGTATTCTGAGAAAGAAAAGCGAACGAAACCATTTACACGCGGATTTTAGAAAAATAAAATGCCGCCAACAAGGACCTCATATTTGGAAGATAAAAGTCGAATTCTTCGGCCTGACACATTCTCCATTTCTCCTCACTGTCATAACAGTCAAAAGAAAATTTTAAAATATTCCCCCGAAGACCAGAAATATCAGCCCACTGCACATAAACTAAAAAGCAAAGTTGTGTACGCATGAATGTTTTGCAAATCCTTGAAATCCGCGCGTAACTCAGGAAACCTTTCAACGAGCCTCTGTTTTTAAACCTCTTTCGCACCCCGGAAGCTTCTTCCATCAACATAATGCGCACTGATTCATTTTCAACAAGAAGCAACGAAATTATTTGGAAGATGATTGGATTATCTCCGATTATTCTAAATTTAATATACCTCTCACTCCAACTTTACAGCTTGAAACGTTCAGGATTTTACACCTGCTGCCGCTTCCGTTTTGACCGAATATTTTCTGATCCAACGCGTGGACCAATTAAAAGTCTAAATATATGAGCTGTGCTGATATGTGAATAGGTCTGCGTAATCAACGATTATCGATCATTCAAAATGTGGTTTTTCCGCGGGGCTATGAGGTCAAATGCTTTGATATGATAAAATTATTAAACTACCTTGTCTAGCTTTAAAGAAAAACCTATGAACACTTATTTAAAGTCACAGCCTTCTATTGTTGTTCTCAGTTATACTGCATATTCTCTATGTTTCGAGCTTCTGCCGCCAAAAAAAAGCACGAGATTTCAAATCACTCTTCACTTCCCTTCTGCACATACTGCGGGATTTTTTTCCTCGCTAGTTTTCCTC